ATTGTACATGTACAAATATTAAAAAATATATGTATATTATAATTATTTTAGTATAGGATAATTGTTCTGCAAAAACTGTCACTTTAAAGAGACTAGCTAGATTAAATTGCAATGAAAAAAAATTGTATAATTTAAAGCAATATTATCTTTTCAGCAAATAATATTGTTTTAAACAAAACAGCCGTGCTTATATATTTTTTAATTTTATCCTCAGATAGTGACAGTTATATCGAATGAAACTGTAAAGAAAGTATACATAGATATTAAGATAAATGTTATGATCAAAAATAAATTAACATTAAAAGAAAAAAATATAAATTAAATTATTTAAATTGTTTATTTAATAACAAAGTTTTACATAACATTGTCGCGTCCCTTACCATAAGATTATTATGTAAATCGTTAGAGTTAGCCACTCCCACACATCATCAAGAGCAATACCTACAGTGCCTTCATTTCTTGTAATTGTCTTCGATGGAACCATCCGAATCCATGTACCCACTAAGAGTGCCTTTTATATAAATATATCTACATTTAGTTATATATTTTGTATATGTTTTATGTGTCGCATATAAGCCAACCATGACCATACAAATTCAGTGTGAACCGTCCAATATCTTTATGTTTTCATAAGTATCGTGTACATTTTTATTTTTTGTATATATCTTCATTTGTTACATGATTGAAAGCATAATGTATTAACACTTTATATGTTTTATATGTTATTTTAATTTAGTTTAATGTATCTGTCCCGAAATAAAATATTATTAATGTACTTTATGTTGTTTTTTGATGTGTTTTAAAGTACATCTGCTTTTTATCAGTCTAGAGAATGGTTTTTTAGCATCTTTGCAATTGTCTTGTGTAATACTAAAAACAATTTGAACAATCCCAATTTTACCAGATTGAAAGGAATTGTAATTATTTGAAATCCAAGGCGAACCAAAATACAAATTAATACAATAAAAATAAAACAAATGAACATCATAAATTATTTTGTGTGAGTGTGGTTTGTCTCAGGGTCTCATTACTTTTATTTTTTTTGGTTGTCATATAAACATTGAAAATATACAAAGGAAATCGACTTCATTAAAAATAATGAATTTAAGGTTAAATTCAAGTTTTGTATTTCTTAAGATACACTGAACCCTTTCGGTTTCTAGAAATATTACCTTTTCCAATAACCAAGCTATAATGAAACTTGATAGATTTTGGAAAAATCGTTTTCGACTCTAGCAATAAAATTGGAACTGAAAACAATGCCTTATAGTAGCTTTTCCTAAAGTCTTACAAATATAACGAGGCGGCAAAGACAATGTCACGCTTGAGCAGCCGAATGCCCTCGGAGAACTTGTTTTCCAGATCCGTGTTGCCGATGGTCTTGGAGGCCTGGCACATCTGGCGCAGCAACTCCTCCAGGCGGCGCATGCACCGGATGATGGAGCCCTCGAATATGTCGGTCATCTTGCAGACGGCCAGGAAACTGGAGCCCTTGCACCAGGCCAGCACCACGTCCATGAGGAAGGGCTTGAACTTGTCCACATACGAATCGGCGTCCAGATCTAGCTTGCACTCCGTCGACACCTTAGCAATACGCCTCGCCAAATCCTGCATGGAGCGCAGTGGTCCCGATAGCTCCGTGGCGCTTTTCGGCGACTCGGTGGACTTTTCGTCGCACACGAAGCAGGAGAGCAGGGCGACTGCTTGTGGGGCAGTGAGGTCGTTGAACACCCCGTTGAAAATCATCTCGGTCATCAGCAGTTCATCCGCCGAGCTCAGTTCGCAGGCCACGCGACCCTTGAACTCGATGACGTCGCCCGGCTTGCAGTAGCCCATCCGGCGGAGCACACGCTTGCGGTGCTTCAGCTCCTCCATCTGCAGCAAACTTCGCGCAGCCTTCAGCTCGGCCTTAAGGTCTTGCAGCTCCGACTGCAGCTGCACCTTGTCCTGGTAGCGTCGGTGGATGCGCTCTAGCTCCGGAGATTTGTGCAAAGGATGCTCCTCCAGTCGCTTCTCGAACTGGGCAATGGTGTCGACTATGTTGCGGAATTCCTTCTCCTTGATGTTCATGTCATCGATGGGATTGAGGACCGGTGGCCCCAGGGGGAATCGTTTCTTGGCCTCCTGGATGGTCTTAAGCACGGCCCGCCGATTGTCGGCACTGCGCAGATCGTTGGGAAAGTACACCCGGATGGAGCTGATCTGGGTGATGAGCGTGTGGGCCACGGGGACGACCTCCATGCATCCCCGCTCGTTCGGGCGGCAGGGCTCCGTGTCGCCGGACTTGGCCGCCGCTTCGCTGACATGCAGCAACACATCGATGGTGACACTGGGCTCGCACTTAATCGGATTCTTGCGGCTCTGGTCCTGCTTCTTAAAGTTCAGCACGATGCCCCAGTCGTACTCCTGCGAGCCGGCGGCCACCTTGACCAATCTGCCCGGCTGCAGGAAGGGCAGTAGGTATTGCGGCCTTGTTAGCCACTGCCGAAAATTCTTGCCATGTTGATCCAGCTCGGAGCGTATGTGGTGGTAGGAGGCGATGTTGTGCTCGTCTTTGATGCTCAGCTTGTTCAGCTCTAGCGTTTTCTGCTCCACCTGATCGTGCAGACCGGGCAGAGATGCCTGGTTTTGGAACTGATAGAAACTGCGCTCTAACATGTACTCCGGATTGATCTCCTCCACGCGCAGCAGGTTCAGCACCATGTTGTAGGTGAGATGGAAGGCCGAGTTAATGGGATCCGCCTTGCCCTGCACAATGTCGCGGCCGACGGCCGGTGAAACCTTCTCGTCAATCATCAGGATGACAATGCCCTTGTCATCCAATCCTCGACGGCCGGCACGACCCGCCATTTGGATGTACTCGCCGGAGCTGATCCACCGGAAGTCTTTGCCGTCGAACTTTCGCGGAGCCGTAAACAGGACCGTCCTGGCCGGCATGTTCAAGCCCATGGCAAAGGTTTCGGTGGCGAAAAGAGCCTTGATCAGTCCCTCGCCGAAAAGAATCTCAATGGTCTCCTTGAGGATGGGCAGCAGACCGCCATGATGGATGCCAATTCCGCGGCGCAGCAACGGCAGCACGTTCTCCACCTGCGGCAGACGGCGATCCTCCTCCGAGAGCACGTCCATGGCATTGTTGAACACCTCGTCCACCAGCTTCTTTTCATCTGGTGTGTTAAAGTCCAGCTTGGCCATCTGCATGGCGTACACCTCGCAGTCCTTTTTGCTGAACGAGAATATGATGACCGGTGCAAAGTTGCGCTCCATGATCATCTTGACGATCTTAAAGATGTTCGTCTGACCGGCATTGGTGCCCTTGATACCGCCATTGCGTCCCTTTTGATCGCCCTTGCCGGCCTCACCTGGAGAATATTTAAGTTAAGAAAAGGATTTTTAAAAGATTATAATCTATTTACCCGCACTGGCCAGCACTGCCATGGCGGTGGTGAAGTTCTCCTCCTTGAACTGCCCCTTCTCGTCGACGATCAGATGGATGCCATCGCCTCCTGCTGGGAAGATGTAGTGCTGTAGCGGCGTGGGCCGGTAGTCGGTGTAGACCACGTGACACGGCTGCTTGTGCAGGTGGCAAACCCACTCGGCGAACTGCCGGGCATTGGGAATGGTGGCCGAGAGGAAGACGTAGCGCACGTTGTCCGGCAGCAGGATAAGCGTCTCCTCCCAGACGACGCCGCGCTCCTTGTCGCGCATGTAGTGGATCTCGTCGAAGACCACCCAGCCCACCTCGCGCATGATCTCACTGCCGCGATACAGCATGTTCCGCAGAATTTCCGTGGTCATGATCAAGCAGGACGCGGAGGGATTGATGGTCACATCGCCCGTGACCAAGCCCACGTCCTTGAACTCGTCGGTAAACTCGCGGAACTTCTGGTTGGACAGCGCCTTGATGGGAGTGGTGTATATGACGCGCTGTTTGGCGGCCAGCGACTTGGCAATGGCGTACTCCGCCACCACGGTCTTGCCCGCCGACGTGTGGGCCGAGACGAGGACACTCTGGCTGTTGTCGATGCACAGGATCGCCTGGCGCTGGAAGGGATCGAGCACGAAGGGGTATTCCTTGGCGGGCACGCCGCTGAATGGCTGCAGCGGTATGTACTCCTGGTCGGGATGGGCGGCCACCTCGTGGGTGCATGATTTGGGTGCATCCAGCAGGTGGGTCACAATACGAGTGCGCAGCGCCTCCAAGGCGGCGGAATCATCCACATCGAGTGTGCGGGTGGGTTCCTCGTCCTCATCTTCCTCCTCCACCAAATCCACCGACTCCTCCTGCTTCAGGCGCTTGGTGGGCTCCTCCTGAACCTCCGGTTCCACTTCCTTAGAGGATTTCGCTGGAACCTTATTCTGCGCCTGCCGTTTGGTTCCCTTTTTGGAGCCTCCGCTTCCCGAAGGCTCCTCATCCAGACTGATCACCGGTGGGGGCACCTCCGGCGGCACTTCATCAAAGCAGTCAAACAGTTCGTCTATATCCATGCTTTAATCCGCGTTTATTGACTATTTTTTTTATAAACTATTTCAACACGCCGCAAAACATGTGAAGCACCGATAACACTATGGCAATCGTTATCGTTATTGATTCCGCAAAACTTTTCAGTGCTGAATATCTAACTGTTTTTACCGAAAATCCAGCTATTTATTAAAGAGAAGTGTTTTAGGTTCCATTTACACCAAAGGAAAATCTAATTTTCTTAGATAGTTGCGAATATGGTAAAGTATTTTGTTAACCTTATATATTTTTTATATTCAACTAAACAAACTTACAAAACGCTTTAAACTCTTTTGGGCCAATTTCCCGTGTTCACAAACAAGGGTTAACGGGCCCAAGATAAGTTATTTATAATTTCCTTAAAGCTTTAATAGGTTGTATGTGTTTAAATGTTTCCATTAACTATTTTTTTTAACGAACACGTTTTTGAAATAGTTGATTCCGAAATGGTTCCGGTTCACAGCCGGAACCAGAATATAGTATATTTTGAAGTGTGGTAACACTGGCCCGCACAGCTGTTCTGTTTTTTTTCATTGCGACTGCCCGATTAAATTATACAATTGTTGGCGTTTTCCGACGTCCATATCGCAGAAGTCCAGAAACAATCGGTGCAAAATGGTGGCTGGAGGTGCCTCGGAAACGGGCGGCGTCAAGCCGATGGCCATTGCGGGCCGCATGGTGCGGGAGCGGGAGCGCCTGATCGGAATGTTGCCGGAGGAGCGAGCCTGGCGGAAACAGTGGCTGAAGGATCAGGAGCTGCACCACGGACCCCGCAAAGTGCCGGCCCTGGAGCTGGAGCTCAACAATCCCATCAAGCGCTTCTATCGCGCCCCCTGGACAAGGTGTGCAACGTTTTGGAACCCGTCCTGGTGAGTTATTAACATGGGCATTATGTAATCACTTATTTCCGATCGGAGGAGTAACTCTTGCTTGGCTCACAGGGCTTCCAGCGGGCCTTCACCGTGCGCTACTGGACCGGAAAGGCACTCCTCGCACTCACCGGAATCTACGCAGGCGCCTACTATTTCAAGTACAACCAGAATGTGAGTATAGTGGGAGTAGGATTCGTATTAGCTGGGCTATTCGGGATTCAATTCTAACTGCTTCCTGGGATTAGAGGATAATGGATCCGTCCTAGTTATATAAGGAGATATTTCCAATCCTCGTAATCCTTTTCTACGCTTATGATAGAGAGATGTCCTTCGGTTTTTGTGCAATTTACTTATCCACTTAAATACTTTTCTTAGGAAACTCTCCAAAACGTTTAATTTTATATGCACCAATATTAAGTTTAAGGGCTAAGATGATTGGACTACAATATTACTACTCTAAGCATATCAAAACTATTTAAAAATTTTACTTCCTAATAATCCTATAAGTTCCTTATGGAAAATTCGACACTGCTTACAAGAAATCAATCACAAACCCCCTGAACTAGATTATTTATACTCTATAAAACCTTATCTATATGGAATAAGCAAATCCGATTGAAAAGTTTTGTCAAAACTAGGTAACATACACTAAAGCTATTTAAAATTACAAATTTTGAAGAATACCTATACTAACAGTTTAAAATAAAACGATTTCGTACCAATCGTTTTATGGTTTGCATAAGGAGAGGAAACCTCCTACACCAAATAAATATTGGCAGCTAAAATCCTAAAGACCAAGTTCAGAAAACTCAAGGAGAAATTAATTTTGTTTAGTACTTTTCTTTTGTTATCTTTGTAAAGAAATGTTGGCTCCATCAATTTATACCGTTCGTGCCACAAAATTCTTTAGTTTCTACATGTAAACCGTTTAGATTCTTGAAAAATAGCTTTACTTATCTGAACATTGATCATGGTTTGTTCCTGTCTGGATTTGGGATCCTCATTTCCTTAATAGTATTTTGAATTTTAAGCAGTCTGATCTATTTCTAAGTTTATAAGTTGTATAATATAATTAAAATTAGAACTATTATTGTTTAACCCATCTTTCTTTCCAGGATTGGACCCGCAAGGGCGGATGGCGTGTGATCCACTCGCGCAAGGCGTGCGTTCCCGGAGATGAGGGCTATCCCAAGGTTTCCGACCGCTCGGCGCCTAACGATTACGCAGCCCGCGGATTCAAGGAGTCGCCTCTATAAACCGAAGATCGCCTTCGAACTGGCTTAGTGATTTTCTTAAGTTTGAAACGTAAATTAATAATATCAAAACAAAAATCGCAATAAATATGGAAACGAAAACACAGAGAAGGAGATTGAGAGTGGATTGTGGTTTTGCCATTGCTTCGCTGCTGAAGAAGAGGTTTTTCTGCTGCGCTTGGCGGATATATTCTTTTTTTGGCGAAAAGCTGCCTAAGCAGTTTGCCGATGTGCTCAATTATCTTGAATTGTCCATTATCGGTCACTTTCTTTTATTTGCATTTTCGGGCTTGCAAAGAAACCAGGCTGCGGTTAAACCTCCAAGAAAATGAAATTTTCCAAAAAGGTGTGGCAATTGGCATTCAAACAAATAAAGAGTACAAGTAAATATTAATTTAAATAACTAGAGTGCTCAAAAGTTGATAACAACCAAATAAACCGTCTTTATTATAATTATATTTTATAACTAGTATTTATCTGATTTTTTGAAGACCCTAAATGTTATGAACTGGTTAAAAACAATTTTTAATAACCGATTAAAACTAAAATAAAAAACGTAAAAGGATAATTTGTAATAAATAAAAGGTGTTTAATAAAATAAAAAAATGTTTATCAAAATAAATTTTAAAAATTAAAATCGTGTGACGTGTACAAAAAAAATGCAATAAAACCCGTTAAAAATCAAATTTATACACAAATTCAAAATTGAGCGCGCAAACCTAATTACTTTTAATTTAATGCAAAAATTTAAACAAAAATTTAATAAAACAATTATCCATTTGAACAATTGAACGTTAGCAAGAAGCAAACAATAAGTATTTATCTTCACTAAAATTAATATTCTTAAAAGGTCAACCCAAAAATCAAGTTAATAATGTGAGCTTATAACAAAAAATCTGCCTTACTTTCATTTGAAAGTAACGTGAAGTGAGACAAGTAAAATAAAAACTTAAGCCCAATAAATTACAAGTTGATGTAAGGTAAAGTTTATATATTAATCAACGTGTAATTTATTTCTCGTCGAAGTGCGCGCCAAAAAAATTTTAAAAATAAAAGAAAAAATGTGATATTTAAGTGATTATTTGAACTTTGTGGAAAAATGTTAAGTAATCTACACAGTGCTTCTTATAATTGGACGGGGTTTGGTTAATCTATAATTGAAAAACCATATAACACTATATATTTTCACAAAATTTGAAAAAAGGCGCGAGTTAAATGAGTTTAATATATGCTTAAGAAAAACTAGTTTTTTGTTTGTTGTTAATACAAATTCGGCTTATCGCATTGCAGCTGTGGTGAAGTAAATGATAAAATGATAAAGAAAACACTAACAAAAGAAAATTAAACCATATATGACTTCCTTTTTAACATCTAATCTAAACCACATTCAAAGTGCGCGCTTAAAAATATGTAGCTGAAAGTGTTAAAATTATCATATCATTGCAATTTTGGTTTAAAATATATTGTTGAACAAGAGTTTTGGATATCATTATCAAAAAAGCATTCTCAAAAAACACATGTTTTACACCTTTTTAAATTCAAAACATAGTGCGCGATATCGGGTTTGAATGCATGCTTTATTTAAATGTGCTTCTTTGATGTAAATATTCAACAAATCTGTTAAATCTGGTGAAAATAAGTAAAGTAAGAGACAAAAACCTAAATGAAATGCTAAAACAAAGAAAATTCAACTAAAACTAGATCCGCTGACCTACTTTTCGTTCAAATTGCGCGCCCAAGAAAAATCCCACGATCACCCGGGGTGGCAATGCTGTTCATCGCATCGCTTCGACTCTCTTTTGAGCCGTGTGGCCAGATTATTATTGTATTAGTGCCGTGGATTTTTGCTCTCTTTTTTCTCGACGCCGATCGCTTCGTTCCATTTCGCTCTCTCGATTTCTCGATCTCGCCGCAGTGCCGATAATTGTGTTATTTTCGAGTCGCTGAAAAGGCCGAAAAAGTGTGCTTGCTTGTAACCAGAATTTCTGCTGGCCCACGGGGATCGATTCGAATTGGCCTTGACTTGTGTGGGGTTAAGCTGGCTAACAAAAACGAGCCCAAAGTGCCCAAAAACAACGTGAAAAGGCTGAAAAAACGGAAAAGGTGAAACTGTCTTGCTGGCTGGTGTGCGTTGGTATGCGTGTGTGCCAGAGTGTGTGCGGCGGTGTGTGCAATTTTTTTCATCATCATTCCAGTCCGCGTGTGTTTTTTTGTGTGTAATCCCCTCAAGAATTTGGCCAAATCCTGCGTTTCAGCAGGTGAGTGATCTTGGTTAATAGGGCATCTCATTTTGAAGCAGGTGCAGGGCTTAAAAGTTCGTGAACCCTACTTTAAAAGCGATCTACTTCAAAGGTTTTTTTCTTCTAGTGAAAAAAGAAACGTCGACGTCGCTGCCTCACGTTTTTTTTTTCTCTCTTTTTTTCCCCTTCTCTTCGCGCTCTCTCTGTCTCTCTCTCAGTTTCTCTCTGCGCGCGCAGCTGTCATCGCATCGTGTTCCCGCGCGCGGGAAATAGCAAACTTTGAGTGCACCTATTTCCTTCGAATTAAGCGGGATTTTTGATTTTATTTCGAAATCAGATTCTAGAGGTTTTAAGCTTTCATTAGGTTATAAATTTGATAAGGTTTTCTTTTAGCTATCTGGTTTTACAGGCTCTTGAAGTTGGTGCCAAATATGCTCAATTCCTAAGCGATGACAACAACAAAGTAGCAGCGGTTTGTTTGGTTTCAGGGCGGCGTTGCCACCTTGCTGCGCTTGGAATTTATGTCACATGTTTTCGTCTTAGAATTTATGAAGTCCACCAACAAAACGTTAAAAAATTAAGTAATTAAACGATTTAAAAAGGGTAACAGAAAAGTTAAATTTATTTACTTAAATAGCATTTATTTACATACATTTCTTTGTGTTTGGGTGACTTTCCAGGGATTTTCTAATAATTATAAAAGTCCAATATAATTTTTTTTTTGAATTTACAATTCATAGAGCCAGGATACAAATTTTGACTTACAGAAACTAACAAAAATCTAGGTCATAGTTTTTGTAGATAACCGTTATAACCTACTAAATCCACCCTGCTGGCATCCCTCTCAGCTGACTTTGGCCACCCAGCTGTTTACTTGTGGAACCTCCAATTGGAGTCTAACTAGCCTGGCGGGACTCCAATCGCAGACTCCATTCAATAAAATGCGAAAATGCCTGCCACCAGCGGCTTTTGTCGCCCCGTCTCTTTTTGTCCCGTCTGTTCTTTGCGCGGGAGATGGTCTCCCTGTCTCACTCTTTCTTCGAGATATACAACAAAGTGGTATATGTTGTTGCATTTTTTGGCGCTTCAGATCAGCTTGTTTTGGCGCGTTTCTCTTGCACACTCGCCGCAGTCGCAGTCGGCGTTTCAGTCGACGTCGCTGTTTTCGGTTCCCAGTTCCACCAATTTTTTTTCGGTGCCTAAGCGATCACTCTGCTGCCGCCGCTCCGCTGCTCGTGAAGTTTTTTCGTGGCCGGCGTGTGACGACGACGACGACAACGAAAAACTCATTAAAAACCCTTAAAAACAAGTGAAAACATCGGGAAAACAAGCATTTCCCTACTTAATATAAGGTAAAAGCCAATTGCACAATGGTCTGATTGGAAAGAAAGCCGAATAAAAGTGGAAAAAAAATTATGACGCGTGTGTGTGACAAGTGTGTGTGGAATAGAGAGAGTGGGAAAGAGAACGCAGCGTTTGCCGTCGTGTCTTTGCATTTTTTGCTACAAATACAACGTCCTCTTATAAGAAAATTGACACGCTGTTGGATTAAACCGTTTCTTTCTGATTGGCAGAGGGTGGGGTATTCATAGTTTCCCATAAGAATGGTCTTACCGTCAAAAATTTTCATATGAGAGTGCTCCAAGTGTCAAAAATATCCTTTAAGTTCCCCAAGTCTCATTGGAATTTTACAAGTATCTAATTAGAAACTACTAGCAAAAGAAAAACCCTTGCAAACACCCATAAGAATGCACAATGTTTCTTATGGGTGAAAAGCAGTTCAGTGAACTGGTAAGGCTATTTCTTATTAGGGAGTTAATGATGTGCAGCTTATTCTTAATAGCCCCCGTGCTGAAGACCAACTTTCTAATCTTTCTCCCGCCCGAATTGCACTTTTTCCCGCCATTCGCATAGATTTTGGGCGGTAAAACAAAACTGCGCCAGCCCAAACGCCTAATTCGCGCCACTTTGTGTTTCTCCATTCTTTTTCCCCATGCTCATTTCATTTATATACGCTTCCTCCAATGACACACACACACAAGTAGAAGAAATGCGCTCCCTAAGAGAGAGCCCCCCTCTCTTTCTCACTGTCTCTCTTCCGTTTTATTCCAATCAGAACAGCGAGTCAAGTTATTTTTCCCCAACCGAACAGCAACAACAAACAAAAACTTTTAGTACTGCTCTGCCGACGTCGACTGCGACGCTGACTGCGGCAGCGGCAGAAGCAGCGACGGCGGGAAAAGTTCAACGCAAAACTTCGAACCTTTTGAAAACTTGACGAACACGAAGCAGCGGGCAAAGCAAAATGGGGGAAAAAGAGTAAATACTGAATTATGTCAAAAGTGGCGCAAAATCTTTGGTACATGGAAAAAAAAACAGTTTCAGATCAAATGTATATATTTATATTATAAAGTTTTAGCAACATAGAGAGAAATTTGAAAGTGAAAGTGGTATTTAAATTATGCTTTAAACTATGCTATGTTTAATCCAGACATAAGTAAGATAACAACTGTCCTGGTAACAAAAGCCGAGTTCAAACACCACTCCGGTCTAATGAACATTCTAATTTTCGAGAATTAAAACTATATTTTTAATAATAAAATATATAAATAAAATACATACATACCTAAATCTAATCCAACTTTTTCAAAATAAATTTCCGTGAACTTGTTTAACTCTAATTTGGTAGTATCATATAATTTTTTCTGTGTAGTAACTCTATGTACGTGGTGTTAACTGATGAGTGAGCGAGAAAGCTGCTAAGTCGATCTACGCGTACGAAGAATGGAGTTCATTGATATTTCTCTGTGCTTGGCTATTGCTTCCCCCTCATCTTCTCCCCCACCTCCTTCTTCTTCTCTTTTCTTCTTACGTCGTCTCTTCTTTTTCCATTTACCTGCTACAATTTATTTTTCTTGTTGTTTTCTTCGCAATTTTGACTTTCTTCTTCTTCTTTTTTTTTGCATTGTTTTGGCGAGCTTTTTTGCGTATTCGCTTTTTGCGCCGTTAAACTTGTCGAGTGGGCGTTGGAGGGGCGTGTCTGGGGGGGCGGAGTGGTGGATTGTTGATGGGGTGGCTTTTTGTATACTTAATTTTTGGATTATGTCATGATCGGGCCGAAATTCCATTGTTAAATGGAATGCTGGAGATGTCTAGAATTGTTGGAAAAATATATTTGTGCTTGGCAGGGTTAAAGAATGGTGGTTACCATTAAATCTAATTCACAAAAAAAGTATACCCCCTCTATTTTGGAATCTTAAAGAGAAAATGTTTGTAAATATATCTTGAAAATATAGCATTTATTCAAAAACTTCTTGCCCTACTCAAAAACCCTCTAAGGACAAGGTCAATGGGTTTTCCTTTTGTTTGCCCCATTTAAATAGTCCTTAAATAAATTATTCAAATCCCAGTCAACACCTCTTATTTTCTGGCCCTGATCAAGTGCTTCCCACCTTTCCTAGCGGCAGGCGATCAAAGGATTTTTTTATATGAGATGAGAACCCAAAACTCATTTGTAATATTTTCCCATCATACATGGCTGTTGCGCTATGGAATCACACATATCACCTGCCCATATTAACCCGAATTCCTGGTAAAATACCAAAAATTGTACTCAATTACAAGTGCGGAATGTCTTACAAATATTACATGCTATCCAAGGATGAGCTGTGAATACTAACTCGTTAAATAAATGGCGCATACATGCATGTAAGCAGTTTTTATTGTCTATACATTTTGTCGCTTCAGTCGAAGAATCCGATTCGGAATCGGAATGATAATGGGGGAGAAGCTGTACGAAGGGCAGAAATAACAATGATAAACAGTTTCCAGTTATTCCCAGACAAACAAAGGATAGTCCGGCAGGAGAGTTGGGGAAAACAGGACAGGACGCAGGCCACTTGAGCCAGCTCAGTGTGGATGTGGGCATCCTTTTAGACGCTGCTAAATATAAACTAAATAGTCAATTGAGCGCGTCTCGATGTCCTAACGGCTACTTCAAGGCCGTCGATTCCTGGAACTGGAACGCCGCCGCCGCCGCCTCCGCTCCATTCAAGAACTTTGATTTGTTCTCCTTCGGCTGAGCCGGCTTTACTTTCACACGCCGTTTGGTTTGTCCAGGCGGCGCTCTTCAGATACCAGAAACACTGAGGCACGGACACAGATACAGATACAGATTCAGATACAGATGCATGCAGGAGAAGAGACCGAGACCTCAACGATCGACTTTCCTGTTTTCGTTTTCAATACCCTGTGTTTGTCGCAGACTGGGTGTGTTCGGCAGGGCTGTGATCTTTTGATCTTGACAAGAAAATATAATTAGTTTCCTTTATATACTTTAAGAATATGATTTCTAGCACACCGATTTTGAATATTTTTAATTTTTTCAGACTTATTTTACTTTACCAATTTTTTTTGTAGATCATTAAATTTTTTCAAAATTTTAGCAATTTTTTTTATTTATTAAATTGTACTTTACGTCGTATGTGTCCATTGAATGTATTTAAAAGGCACAATTCAATTGCACTTAAAAAATATTTTATTTATTTAGTTTTAATTTAGTCCTTTAACTTTGTTAAAAAAGTTGTTGTTAAGAGCTTTGCAACTTGAGAAAACGTAGATCCTAAATCCCAGATCTTAAATACATTTTTAAAGCACAATTCAAAATTTTATAGATCAGGTTTAAAAAAATCAATTCAACCATAAAATTTTTTGTATTCTTTTTTTTAAGGGAAAAGAGATTTATGTTGATTCCTCTTATTTTTATCGAGTAATGGAAAAAGTTTCCATTGCAAATTAGGTGTACATATGTATAAAAATGTATGTATATTAATGAAATTGCAAAGAATCAAATACCTAGGTATTTAGTTTATGTAGTTGCCGAACTCTTAGTCGTCGGCACTTGGAGTTCCAACTAATTGCAAGAGATGTGGCCAGACCACAACAAAGGAGGAGAAGGAGCATTGGCATTGACAACGCAACAGATACCCAGATACCCAGATACATGTGCAACTTTATCTCGAGTATCTCTGGAATGTATCTCGTCGCATGTGCACAGCCCAAAATGCAGCTCACATACGCACTGAGTGAGGCCCAAAAAAGGACGCACAAAAATTGCAGGCCATTCCAAACGGACCGAAGAAGACGGCGTCTCCTGAGGCCCCCGGATAACTCGAGACCTGTTTTCCCTCTATATACTCGTTGAGATACATACATATTTATATTTTTTGCGCTCTCCTTTGCGCATTTTGCGCATTCTTCTTTGCATTGCCTCAAGTTGCATTACATATTATCTCGTCGAGGGTTCCATTTCCTTGTGGGAAATCTTCCGCATAAAGCAAATATTTCGAGCTAAAAGAGAGAGGGGCCTTTGGATTTGCCGAAAAAAATACGTTCGGCCCTATTTTTCTACACACTCGATTCCAGTTAAATGACCTTGGAGACCTCGTCCAGGTAAACAGATTCACCCATGCATCGCCTTTAATTAGGCGCTGAGAGGAAACCCCTGTGCTTATCCGGTCGATCCGCGGTATTATTCATATTTGTATACCTGTCGCCGCCACAGATTTCCTTCGAACTCGCAGCCTTCTTCACTTAATCTTCATTAGAGGAAGCTGCACTCGGTTCCTGCGATGTGGGCAGTCCCTGCAATTAGTTAATCCTCCATCAATGCTAGTCGCTGGTATTTGGACAAGGAGCATAGGTTTAGCTCTAATAAAGTAATTTGTTTGTCAGGTTCCCCTGTCAACTCTTTGGGAAGAACTCGAAAATCCTGAAGATTTCCATGTATTCTCATTAAAGTATATTAATTTTAAATCATTTGATTTTATTTCCCCTCTTGTATTTAAGAAAGCGATTAATTTAATCCTTAATGATTTTAGATCGATCAGCGTTTAATTAACAATAATATAAAATTATTCTTACGAAATTTGAGATTTTTTAAAACTGAAACATCACTGCCGAATATGTCATTATAAATTATTTTGCAATTATACTGATCACACCCATTTAAAATTATACCAAGAGTTTTGAAGACCAAGGAATAAATATAATCTGGCTATTATCTTAAGTATGTATGAGTATGATTAAGGTATTATAACTATTTAAATGTACAATAGCATATTCTGTTTCAAAATGTACACACATTTTCTTGCGGTCGTTTAGAGATACATAGTTTTATATATCTTTTTTATGGAGCAACATTTTCTTTGTTGTAACTTAAATAACCTAGGAGGGTTGAAAACTAGACAAAACCGAGACAGCAAAAATGATCTGAAAGGAACTTCGGGGAAGAAGAGAGAGAACCTAATTAATTAGAAGGCATATCCGCAATTAGTGTGAAACTGATGGTTGAAAAAAGCAAAATATTGTCCATGAGAAAAGGCCGGAAAAAGCAGTGGAAAAGAAAGGCAAAAAAGTGAGGAAAATAGACAGTACGTTGCATAAGAATAAGAAAGTAGGGGAAAGAAAGAAAGTCGTTGATTAAAAAGCATTCGCATACGGGGTAGGAAAAGGTGTCGAACTGAATGGTAGGCCGAATGGGAGGTCCATAAATCGTGGCGAATATAACGCCAGGCCCATATGTCACACGGAAAAAGGAAAATAAAAGAAGGGAGGAAGAATGGAAGGGGGGAATGCAAGGAAACGCGACAGGATACAATTAGCGAGGGGGAAGTCAATTGAAGTTACAGCAGCGGCGTCGGCAGAGACATTGCCAGAATCCTTTAAGGTGGGGTAGGACCATCAACAGCTGCCGATCCCCTTCTCCACTACTCCACTCACCTGCCCCGCATCGCCTTCATCCCGCAATTCTAACAGAAGGCCAGCGATCAAAACTAGCCACAACAGGTGCATCGGTGGCTATAAGGACTCGCCTTCTCGATATAATTAAGCGTTGTAAACCACTAGAAAATGTGAACGTTGCGCATGCGCCGAATACGAAGCACCTGACATCGATACACTCGAAAATATATATATACATTAAGGTGTTGGATAAAATAATAGGGAAATGTAGATTCAATTTAATAATTTGGCTTTTATTTGTTTGAAAAATTCATTAACAAACTTTTTTAAAAACCTTCGTTTAATTAATATTTTTAAAATATTTCATTCTATTTAAAAATGCCTATCTTTTTTTGAGTGTAAAGGAAGTTCAAGGGGAAGCAGCTGAAGCTGAACCTGCAGCAGAAGGCATCAATCGAGACTCGTGGAAATTCTATTATGATAAAAAATTGACCATCCCGTGACTACCTGTTAGGATGACCTAACTCAATAAATATCTGGCAACCTTTTCGTTTTCTGTAATTTGAATATCTTAGAAACACTTTGCATCCACAGGAAAATGTTTACTTTACGTTTGTATTGCTAAAAGCAAAAAGTTGGTGTATTTATATTGTTTTTCGAGAAAAACTCACGTAAACAAATTTGTTTGGGGTTTTCGAAACGAGGAAACTCCTCGACCACATGCTGTGTGTGAGTCAAGGATCATATGTTGTTTTTTTCCACAAGGATCTACAGATAATGCGGGACTAACTGTTGATAGGTTTTGTCAAGTCGTAAAAACTCGAAAACTCATCACATGTGATGGAAATATCCTGGGCTCTTGGTTTTTTAATGGGCAAATAATGATTCTAGAGATTGATATTTATATTTTCTTCATTTTGTATTAATTATTTTCTATTCATTCTTATTTTATTTTCAGTTCCTTTTAAATTATTTAAATTATTCAAAATATTTCTGCTTTGGACGAGCAGGATAAGATAAGAGCAAATAAGATTCAGGATAAAGAACCTAAACGGCTTCTCAAGGCCGTACAATTATGGGTTTAAATGCCAAGAGGTAAGCTACAATTTTATTTTTATTTAAGAAGTTAATAATATATCTATTTATGTTTGTTTATTTTCTTTTAAAAATATTCTCCACAATTAAATAGGTATTGTTTTTGAAAAAAAATATCTTGTAATATTAATAAAGTCTTTCTGACCTGTTTAAAAATATATTTAAAATTTTCTTTATGCTAAAAGTTGCTTAGAATTTCATTATTCTGTTGGATCACTAAGTTTTAGAGCACCCTGCATGTTTTCCATGCCTTCATTTTCGATCTTAGACGTTTCCTTTTCCCATCAAAGACTTTTCGTGACAACCATTTCCTCCGCAGTGGTAACTAAACTAATTAGCACCCCACATGAAAGCCAAATGGCGACTCCCCAACTGTCTAATACCAGTTGTTTCTAACGCTCAGCGACTTCCTGTGGCGACATCCGATCGACTTCCTTTTTACCACTAACTATCCTGGTAGGCAGCGCGTCTCCCTTTAATTCTCTTAACCAAAAGTGATGTTTATCTAATAGCTATTCCGTAATTACAAAGTGACAGAGCCCAACTGGTTATGCCCGAATACTCCGCGGGAAAGTAAGACCCGCAGGAGCTATAACCACTCGGGAGCCTACTGTTTCGGCCTTCCTTCTGACTCAAGTGCGATAATCTAAAATGCATTTTCACTGTCAATTTCAAAACACAAAAAAAAACAAAAAACAGATGGCTTGTAGGTGTTAAAGTCGAAGCTACGTTGATAACCAAGTGTCGCATTCCTGTACACTCTGCATACCTTTACAGGACTCGAGGACTCTTTCGAGGTCCTGCGTGTGATTAGTATATAATTGCGCGCGAAAATGTCATTAGAAAAGTGTTTAGTTGTGGGACGGTTCAGGTCAGTTTGGTTCGATCGGAGGGTTGTACTCAGAGGGGGTTGCACTGTTTGATAATGCTGTCACATAGCACACACACTTTTTGTGGCTTTTTCAGTCATGTCCTGGCTAAAAATTAATTGAGTTTAATATGTTGTTCACCCTGTCCTATTTATTTTTGCCTGTGGGTGCCTGCGCATGACCATAATTGCATAATTGCCTAGTCATTTGGTTTTGTCAGTTGCGTCCCCTTTGGCATTCAACGTCATCATCACCCACTCCCTACTATTTCGGCCCACTGATCACTCGGCGATCACTTAAGTGATAGTCCATTTTATGGACATATTTCGTGGTCAGCATGTGTGCGACATAATTATTGGTATGTGTTGCGAAACTATTTCACTGACATCTATAACGGAATTTATCAAAAAAGTGACAGAAGTTTAATTTTATGGTTTTTTAAAAAATGTTGCATACTTTAGAGGGCATTTTATGGTGAAGCGAAGAGGTTATGGTAACCACAAAACACCTTAAAAATTTGTTTTCCTTAAATTTTCTTACATCCAAATGTTATCCTGTAGAGTTTAAAACACGATTAGTCAATAGATTACCACTATGGTAACATGAGTTGCCTAACATAACTGTTTTCTGGCTAGAAAGTATAGCAATAAATAACTAATTCCTAATCCCAGCGTCAGAGTTTCATCTCATTTGTCATGTGAGAAAGATCGATCCTTCGATAGTCCACTTATTATGCAGTGGACCATATTCCAGGAACTACTTTTTGGAATTTCTCCATATCATCTCCTAGATAGTCACCCTACCCATTTGCTACCTACAGGGACTCGGATTCTGATTCAATACTTAACAAAAAAAAAAGGGGAAACGAAACCGAAACAAGGTTTCTGGCTCCGCCGCAAAGGAAAGGAAACTTTCACCTCGAAATGACAAATTTCAGATTGAACCTTAAGCCGCGGAGACCCTGACCCCGAACCCCGAATACAAAGGAGGAAAGATAGAAAGCGGGAAAAAACTTGAAGGACGCGAGCACGTACGCTCCATTAGTCCTTTCTCGCCATAACTCATTTTTAAGCGATTTCATTTCCTCGTAATTTACTACGTGATTACTTTTTCTTGTTCATTAAACCATTAAACGCGATCGATAGTGCAGGGCCAGGATCAAAACAGGAGGCTGCAATCCCGAGATCCTCTGACCAGGGAGAAATGGCTAAAGCATTTGAATTTATGTGTGCTGTAGCCCTTTTTTTTGTTTATCCCTTTCCACAACTTCCTTAAGAAGGTTTTTTTTTCGGTCCCAAGGGTTAGATTTCGTTTTTTGCCCCTTGCTCAAATTGCAAAAATTCGCGCATCGAATTGCTTGAAGTGCAGTTGCTTGCCTTGCAACACTTGAGAGTTGAGGCGAGATGAAAGAACATCTGTCCTTTCGAGGAGGGAAATTCAATTCTTTCCGTTTGCCAGCCTCTTGCATTATGGTAATGTGCATGCAAATTTGCCAAAATTGCTCAATAATCTCGAGGAGGAAAGGCTTTCCTCGAGCCCTCACGACGATCCCATTTCCCTCGATCAGTCATCTCGATTTCAATTTCCCGGATGTTAAATATTAATGTATCCGTTGGGCGCCTTAATCTCGAGTCTCGCATCGCGATTCGAATGCCGTGTCAAAATTCAATGAATTTATGTTCGTTTCGTTTGTATCTATTTAAGAACGCCCCTATGTGATTTGCTGCTTGCCTCCGTGGCATATTGAATTTCTCTATTTTGCAAAAAAGGAGAAATTGAAAATTACAGATCCCCAAAAATTTGCACAGTGGTATGTAAAAATGATATATAAAATCTTTTCACTATCACTATTTTTTTTATTTTAAATATAAGTATGAAGTCATTTAAGATTGCATTTTTTTGGGACAACAGAACTTTAGTCATTTACCTAGTATACTTAAACTAAACTGATAGCTTTGTCTTAAAATCAGTAAAGATTTCAATAAAAACACAAACCTTTTTATGAAAAATGCTTAATAAATTTTAAAGAACTCTCAAACTTTTAAACTTTATTATTAATAATTACAAATAAGATATTTTTATATATACTTATTTGACTTTATTTAACTTTTATAATATTAAACTTAAATTTATATTGGGTGGCTTTTCATAAGAAATTGTTAAAATAGCATTTTTTAATCAACATATCTTTGATTCAGGAATTTAAATATAGGTTCTATTTGTACGTTTTATAGAAAATGGGAATTCAAATGAAAGTATTTTTAAGACTCCATTGTTCCACTGTTAATTTGGTGTACTTTCTTTTGCAGTGTTTGTTCTACCAGCAGCACTGAGCCAAATGGCAGCATAGTCACAACCGCCCCCAGCAACGGAGAAGCCAGCAGCAGCAGCAGCATTGTCGTCGTCGTCAGCAGCAGCAGTAGTAATAGTAGCAGCAGCATTAGCCCAATACCAATCCCGCAGCGCGAAGAAGAGCTACCGGGAACCTCAGCAGCCTCCAAAAAAGTCGAGATGTGCTCTTGTGATAACCAGAACCTTGCAACATCCACAGCCACAACTTCCAATGGCAATAAACGTAAACGGCGTTTAAGCAGCGACTCAAATGATGATGCTAAGGTGAGTACCACAAACGAATTGCACTCAAAATGAAAAGCCAGACATGGCAGATAAGTTTTATGAATGAAGTTGCTTTATCAGCACGTGTGACCTCGATGATTTGTGCAATCTTATCAAGGAAACGCCAAAAGCGATAGATAGAAAAAGAGGGCGGCGATGACCCAAACGATCTTGCAAGACGATGATCAAGCTAATTTCTTGAAAATTACTTGTGTACTTTTGGATTTTAAATTAATTTAAAATCAATTTGCACGTATTTGCACTGAACTTTTAATATGATCTCTGGAGTCTTGTCTGTCCTATTTGTGGTGTCAATCAGTGATTTTCATTGAATCAAAAATAAGAATTTCTATATTTAAAATTACCTTCAAATAGAATCGAAATAAATTCAATGACTAGTAAGTTATATTTTTCAAGATTAGGTTGCTGATTAGATGAACTAATAAAAATAAGCTAAGTTCAGTTCTAAATTGATCTAGGGCTATCACACCGCTTATTTTAGAACTATATATGGTGATATAGTTAACTATTATTATTTTTATATTTATTAAAAAAAAGTCATTGATCATTGATCTTCAGATTGATTCAGTTCTGCATGAGCAACTGATCCTGTTGTTATTATTTATCAAAAGAATGTGTAATTCAAAGCAATTTTCATAAAAAGAATTTGTATACCCAAATAAATAAATGATCAAAGTGAGTTTCCGAATTGATTTCGTTGATCAATGATCTTTAGGTATTTCTCTTTTTCGTATGTTTGGCAAACGATCTGTTATTTGTACTTCCATTTATATGGGCAGCCCTTTCTTGGCTTCCAGTCGATTGGCTGCCGATCTTCATTTGATCTTTCGATGCTTGAGCTCCAGCCAAATAAGCCGTTGAGCACGTAGACAGCTACTTGGCACTTTTGAGCTCGCACAATGCAAAGATGAGCCCAAAAATAAACGCTACTTACTGAAAGGGCTCGCTAAGGAGAATCCTTGGAAGCCTTGAAGTCAGATCTACTCTCAAGTAGCTGCAATCAAAGCGAAGAACAATGGCTTCTTTTTGTGGCGGCTTCTGGCGACGGGCAGCTGTGTTGGTGCAAAGGATTTTTTTCCAGTGCTATATGAAATATATCGAAGGGAGAGAATATTCTTCTATACGTGCAATGAACTTGCAGAAATTGTTTTCTTGTTTGTTACCCTATGTAAAGGTATCTTCATTTCATGTCTAAATTCAAATAACTATCAAATGAACTTTGTATAGTAGTAGTTATAACAAAATTAATTTTTTAACGACCCAAAATGTGATACTCAAGTAATCATTTAAAACAAGGAATTGCCATTCCTTAGTTAACAAATACGGTTGCTTCCAACAATAACTATTTTTGTTTTGTTTTGTATGTTGTAGCTTAAATTTTAACTTTATTAGTTGTGCAGTTCATTTATTTTATATTATAATAATTCCACAAAATAAAGATATTTATTAAAAAAGTTCTCCAAGGGTGTATATCAGTCTATTCCAAAAATATTTGGGTTTTTTTTGGCATGGGGTCTGGCTGTTTTTTTTTTGTTTTTGCAACGTTTCTGCGTTTACTTCCCTGCCAAACAAATGTCATTCTCATAGGGAGAAAAAAACGGATGGCAAGGTAATGTTTGCCCCCCTTCAGGCGGACGTTGTTGGGTAAGAATTCCGAAGGGGTCTTGGCAGTATGTTGAGCATATGCACGGCAGGACAAAGGAGACCAAGGACAGAAGGCGTCGTTGCGCATGCGCGCACACCTTTAGCCCAAGTCCGACATCTCCAGGGGTGGGTTTTCCCAAAGTCAAGGCGGCAAATGTCCGTTAAGGCCGTAGGAAGAATTTGAAATTGCGATAGTTATAGGTTAGCTTGAGGCAGGAACTAGATCAAGACGACTGGATCTCGGGATCGGGATGGGCTACCGGAATGGGACGAAGCTAAAACCACAAGACACGAATGAACGAACGCAGCGCAACGCCTTATCCTTTTCAAGGATCACTGGGCCGGGTTTTTCCTTTTCTTCCCTAATTAAATATTCATCGAGACGACATTTGCTTCTGAAGAAACCATCCATACCAAGCTATAAAAAATGCTTTCCGACTGGGTTGCATTTTGCTACCCCGTTTCGGGACATGTTATCCTTATGCAAATGCGTTCCGATCCTGCGACGTCTGCTCATTAGATTTCCGTTAAACTTTTATGCAAATCATTCGGCATTCAGCTCCTTGCAGCGCTTGTGTCATCTGTTTTCGGGACACGCACAACGCTCCTGCTTTGGAATGCGGTCCTGAAATATTATACAATATTTGTTTTGCTGCTGGCACAAGGATCAAAATTATGGTATTATTTTACCAATTTGTCAGTGTAATGTAAACCCCTTTTTCTTATTTTTGTACATGGCAGGCATGAAATCGCTGAAAGTTCCTTTTTTTCCGAGAAACTTCTTTGTTTTCTTTTGTCCTGAAAGGGGAGTTGGGTTTGCTTTCGTCCGGGTTTCTCTTCGTTGCAATCAAGTGCGGGTCTTGATTTCAGTCAAGTCAGTCTCGGGACATTGTGGGAAACTGAATTCAAGTTTCATTTTCCCAGATTGCATCCCGTTCTGGGATCATGCATCGTCTGTTTTGTGATTCAAAGTTTTTTAATTTTAAAGAGGATTTTATTTAGCCGATGGTAAACAAGAGATGAAGGCATGATTGTAAGGGAAGCTTGGGCAGTGATCTGTTTTCAGATTAATGACACTAAACATTCATCTGATAACAGAACATGTTTTTAAGCAGATAATGATTTTTATTTAACATGTTAGAAACAGAATAAAAAGAAAAAAAGAAAAATTTTAAAGGCAATTTGAACATATTTTAGTATAGTATTAAGTCATTACATAATTCAAAAAAATATAATTTAAGTCTTGTTTCAAGTATCCGATTCAGGAAAACTCGAAAGTTGGCATTACCCGATGAAAATGAATCTTCCCTATCATTCATCATTCCATTTTTCGCATTCAAAATTCATTCGCGGTTTGTCCTTTGTCCACTTACCCTCCTCCCGTTCCACCAATGGGTTATGCTTTAATTCATTTTGTCATGGATCTAACCAATTGCATGATTAATTACATGTCCAAGCGTTTTCGTCTTCCCCTTGGCCAACGAAAGTTGTACATTTCCCCGATGATAAATCCAGCCAAGTCACCGCGAAAGTGTTGTGTTGGATTAACCCTTTCTTTACTGACCAGGGGTCAGTTGAATTGGTTGGAAATATGAGTGTTTGTTATGGTCCTTCAGGGATTTGTCTTCTGGCATGTTGTTTGCATATCATTTATTAAAAGAAGAGCAGCGATGGTGTCCCAAAAGTGGACAGCACTTGAGCTAATTTTGAATTATCATTTGGGTTATGGTAATTTGTCAGATTTTTCTACTCTGGAAGCAATTTCTGTTATATTTTATAATAAAATTCCAAGCTATATCCAGAACTTCTAGGAAATCCTAATCTTTATTCCGTATCCCCTAAAAAAATATTAACAATTACCACAGGCCATAGAAAAAATTAAATGTTATTCAAAGACTTGGGGGAGAAATGAAAAATATGAAAGGAAAGAAAAATAAAATGAAACAACAATGCGGCATATTACACGGCAACAGCGGCGAAAAAGTTACACCTGGACCCACGCCAAGGACTGAAAACTAAAGGTGTTTCGGTTTCGAGCAGACGGTCGTCGAAAGATTACGACACATAAGCGCAGGACTTTATAGGGTAGTCCAAGTGAGAGGGAGAGAGAGAGAGTGGGACGGAAGACACAATGGGGCACCAGGATATTGAGGTTGACGGCACAGAGGTTGTCGCATAACAATCGCTTCTTGACTGCTTTGTATGTACCCATAACTTGAGGAATTGCATCATCTGCCCCGGCGACCCATGGTCTCCCTCCCAGTGAGATTTCGAGAGATGTTTTGGGTGCCTTGTGGGCTGCGATTTGAAGGAGCCGATCGAGATGAAGGACGATTGCTGCAGCTGCCTCCTTGGACCTGGGACTAAATCCTTGAGGCGGCGACTTAAGGGCAACAACCCAGTTTAACCCTTGTTAAACTTGGGATGCAACCCTTTCGCATTTGGTCCAGATTCCAGCCCACTTTACAGCTCACTAATTTCTCACACTCACTGGGTCGATCTTTCTCTTGGAATCCGTCATGTCATAAAGTAAACTGGGAATTTTCGTGCATAATCTTTCTGATTCCTTAACGCTTGACCAAATCTCCAGCGGCAGATGCAATGTCCACGCACCAAAAAAAAAAAATAATAAAAGAAGTGAAATAATAAGGCTAGAGGAATGTCCATTGTGTGCGGACCTAGCTTCTTAGGCCATTGCACGCTTTGATTTTAATTACATTGCATCTGGGTGCCTTGACATGTGTCCATATCCATGTCCATTTTCATTTTCATTCCGCAATTGCCATTCCCGGTTACCTACATCATCTTCGCCGGAGGGTTGTTGCAGTTTGTTGGCCAGAAGAATAAGAAATTAAATTTGTCATGCGTCTCTTGGACCTTCCTGTCTTGAGGCAAAAACTTTTTATTTACCCCCGACTCCTCCGTATGTTATGTCGGAAAGGCAAACCTACTCAGACAATTAAGAATGTCACATAAATATCGCAACATTTTTCCCTCATTTTTACGCAACAAATTATGTGAAAATCTTTAATGAGCAGCAGGGTTGGTAGATATTGTTAAGCTTTTACGACGTGTGAGATTGGCTGTTAAGAAAGTTGATGAAATACATCCCGTATTTGATAAATTTTACTGTTTTATATGATCTGCAACCTTTTTCTATCAATGTAAAGATCAATTGCAATCGTAAACCTATGAAATTCATAAGAAAATGGTTGCAATATTATTTGGGCTTGCTATTCTTTGTAAGAGTTTATTGTTTATTTTATGGTTAAATAGCCTTATCTTTTAATTTAAAATCTTGCCTTTTTTGTTTAATTTCGTAACGTATTACTTGACCCTAAGCTCATAATACTTATTTTGCAATAAATACATTTTTATATTATTTCAGTTATTTCAGTAAAAAGATAAACATTCTTAAAAGAAAACCCAATAAACTTTAAAAATAAGGGAATTGCGAAAAAACAAATGTAAATTGTATCGATATCGATTTGATAATAATATGATAATCCAAAATAAATGTTTTTGATATGAACGTTATGTAGAATCGATTTTAAAAGCTTTTCCAATGATTTTTCTAAAGAATTGCTTGCTTTAATGTAATCTTTACATCTTGGGATTCTAAGTGTGACATCTGTGTCCCATATTGTTTAATTTTTTTTTATGGACTTTCTGATCTTGGCTTCTGTTTTCCATCATCTGTCTGTAAGAACAATGGTCAAGGCTCTCAATTGTTTGCGTTTTTCATTTCTATTCCCATTTTCATGCTGCAATCTTATGAGTCGGTCTATGGGATGGGGTTCCATTAGGCTCGCTCTACATTTGGCTTCGGCACCGCCCCAACCCCTCTGATCGATGCCAAAAGATAATTTATTGAAGTTAGCCACCAAGATGCAGGAGATTTTTAATGCAGCCGCCGGCAGCTCGAGCCAAAAGCTATAATACTAGCAAAAATAATTTATATACTCCCTATGTACCATATTATATAGCGCTATGCGAGGGTTAGGTAGTGATTTTCCAAAACGTCTTGTGTCTACCTGGACGCACAGAAATGTTGACAAAAATAATTGTAGAAAGGATCAGGATTTGTTGTTGGGCTGATAAACACCCAGAGGCGAAAAATGCATTGCAAAAACAACAACGTCGTCGATGTCTCAAGAAGTACGGATATCTTTAGGGAACTACCCCCGATGGAAAGAGATGGCAAGTCGGGTAGCGATCCTGTTTTTACCGCTGCAGCGTTTGTGTTTGTCGGGGGAAAAGAAAAAAAAAGAAAAAGCAACCCCTATTTCTGAGACCGTTGCATTCGTTGGGCAGGATAACGACGATTCGGAGATCGGGGATCAGGGTTCGGGGATCGGCGATCTGGAACGAGGAACGTTGAGCTCAGTTGCACAGCGCACGTCAACGCGATTGGTACTCGATCAAGCCAAGAGCGGAGTGAACAAGATACAAAAATACCTATACAGCTGAAAGACACTGAAAACAAAACCAAATTCTAAATTATTCGTTGCCAAGTAGCAAAAATAAAGACTGACAAATATTAATAAACCACACACAACGAGTGCAAAGAACTAATTTAAGAACCGGATTTTGCCAAGATCACCCACCAAAAACAACTACAGCAAACCAACACGAAGCCAAAAATGTTTTAAATGTTATAACCAAAAAATCTGTTTGCACAATTATTTAATCACACCAAAGAAACAACGCAACAAATTATAACCAAAGACTGCTACTAAATTTAAAAAAACATCAAAGTAAAAAGTGCAATAACAATTTTGGCTACATTGATCTTACCAAAAACGAAAAATCAAAGAAAGAAAAGGAGGCAACCGAAAACCCGTTCCCACAAGAAGCGAATATAAATCCACAGTGTTATTGTCTTACCTCCATGCCAACACTGAGTCCTTGATCCTTTGTGTGATCTCTCCTGGCTCTCATTTTGTGCGGGTGCATTTGGTCCAGCAGCGGTCCATCTATCAAGGATTACGAATTTTGACAGGCGTGCCCACATAAATTTTGGCCAATTATATTCGGAGCACGTTTCTAATTCCGTGTGATCCAGTTACTGACTTGAGCCTCCTCTCCATTCTGTTGTTCATGTTATTATGAAGTTGGAACAGAAGCGCAAATTCATTGAAATGGTAACGATTCCTAGCTTATCTTTACTCTATGCATTTTTAAGTAGTGTTTAAAGGGTAGAACCCCTTTTCTTAAATGTTAATAGAAATATAGTTTGTTTCATAATAAGTCAGGAAATATATTTTATATATGGGAACTAAACTTCAATTGTTTTATAAAATCAACGAAAATTTAACATGCATCGTAAGAGTATTGCCTTTATGATAGGGCTGTTTATTACATTCCTTTTGGGTGATAAGTTTTATATTTCATGGCTTAACTACTATTCAATTAAAGATTCTTTGTAGTTCGTTTTATATTTATTTTATTTACTAGGTTATTCATTGTACTAAATGAATTTCTTGTTCCATTCCAGGACCCCGAACTCTGTTTTGAGCCTCCATCGGCCAAGCGCCAGCAGCGACTGCCCGCTCTGTACGGCAGCGACCAGAGCAACCTCTCGTCGGTGGCCTCCTCGGTGTACACTTCGCCCATCATCTCGTCCGATGGCCAGAGCACCCAGGAGCTGCTCAGCATACGCAGCTCCCCGGCCGAGGAGCTGCCAGAGGCGCCACACAGTCCGCTGCCGGACAGCCCGGATAGTCCGCCGAGTCCGGATCGCGGTGCCAAGCAGGCGCCCGTAGTGGTGCGCTACGGAGTGGAGCAGGTGGTGACCACCACAACCGTGGTACCGCAGAAGCCGGAGGACGATGACCTTTTGGATGACAGCTGCGAGGATTACTCGTTCGACGAGGATGAGGAGGATGATGGCGAAGAGGAGGATGAGGACGAGGAGATCTACTCGTCCACCATTTCGCCAGCCTCCTCGGGCTGCAGCCAGCAGCAGGCGGTGAATGGGGAGCGTACTCCCGGACTGCAGCAGCATCAGCAGCAGATGCAGCATCCGGTCAGTGACCTGATGATCAATATGACGGCTCCTGTCAAGATCCTGGACGATGCGGCACCTTTCAGCTGCATGTCGCCGGCCGTGGAGAACGCCCTGCGCCAGTGTCCGCTTCCCGCCCTCACCTGGGCCAATGCCGCCGATGTCTGGCGCCTGATGTGCCACCGGGATGAGCAGGACTCGCGCCTGCGCAGCATCTCCATGCTGGAACAGCATCCCGGCCTGCAGCCCCGTATGCGCGCCATCCTCTTGGACTGGTTGATCGAGGTCTGCGAGGTGTACAAGCTGCATCGGGAGACCTTCTACTTGGCCGTCGACTACCTAGATCGCTATCTGCATGTGGCACACAAGGTGCAGAAGACCCATTTGCAGTTGATCGGCATCACCTGCCTGTTTGTGGCCGCCAAGGTGGAGGAGATCTATCCGCCGAAGATCGGAGAGTTCGCTTACGTGACGGATGGCGCCTGCACAGAGCGGGACATCCTTAACCACGAGAAGATCCTGCTGCAGGCGCTCGAATGGGACATCAGCCCCATCACCATTACCGGCTGGCTGGGCGTCTATATGCAGCTGAATGTTAACAACCGCACTCCGGCATCGTTCTCCCAGATTGGCAGGCAAAAGGCCGTGGAGGCTGACGATGCCTTCATCTACCCGCAGTTCTCTGGCTTTGAGTTTGTGCAGACCTCGCAGCTGCTGGATCTGTGCACCCTGGACGTGGGCATGGCCAACTACTCCTACTCGGTGCTGGCCGCAGCCGCCATCAGTCATACCTTCAGTCGGTAAGTTAGCTGGCAGACCATTTGCATTCGAAATATATAACTTACCGGATATTTTCTTTTCTCTTTTAGCGAGGCCGCTTTGCGTTGCTCTGGCCTGGATTGGCAAGTGATTCAGCCCTGCGCCCGCTGGATGGAGCCCTTCTTCAGGGTGATCTCCCAGAAGGCCACCTACCTGCAGCTGAACGAACAGAACGAGCAGGTCAGCAACAAGTTCGGCCTGGGTCACATCTGTCCTAATATCGTCACCGACGACTCGCACATCATCCAAACCCACACCACCACTATGGATATGTATGTAAGTATCTAAAAGGTTATGATGTGAAATATGTAACTATACACATTAATGGAATTTAGTGGGGAGCTATAAAACAGGGTGCCTTTTAGAAAATATCCATATTTGGGAGCGTTGAAAATCTTCTCTAAACAAGTACCAAAGAAAAGTAAAATGTCGATCTATTAGAAGTATTAAATATAAAATCATTCCATAATTTATTTAATAATGTCTGAAACCAAAAAAATACAGTTTTAAGGACAGTTTACAGTTTACATTTAAAATCTTATTTTGAGAATTTGTAATAATTTCTAAAACAAACTTTAAAAGTTTTGAAGGAAAGATATAAGATAAATATCGACATAAATTTCTAGTATAATCCTGGATTAAATAATCCAAATTTTTTCTCTTTGGATTTAATACTATTAGTTTATTTTACAACTTACTTATTTAAAATTTTCCATTTTAGGACGAAGTTTTGATGGCCCAGGATGCGGCGCATGCGATGCGTGCTAGGATTCAGGCCTCCCCGGCTACCGCGCTGCGCGCTCCCGAGAGTCTGTTGACCCCGCCCGCCTCTAGTCACAAGCCGGACGAGTACCTGTGCGATGAGGGCGATGAGGCGGCGGCCAGAAGCGGCATGACCTCCACATCCACCAGCAACACTGCTAGCAGCAACTGCAGTAGCACCACCACCACCATCAGCAGCAGCAGCAACAATCCTGCGACCAACTGCAGCAGCAGGAGCAATCGCTGAGAGACTGCCAATGATCTTGGCCACCATCCTCTCATAACTCACCACACACACCCGCCCAAACAGTCTCTACGTTAAGTGTTTCTTATATTTAAATTATTTTTGTTAAGTGAAAAGTTATTAGTTGCCTAATTCCTATGCTAAACACATATTTAATTTGAAATTTTCCACGCGCTTATGTTTCTCAACTCGCGATATATTCATTTTCCTCGCTCAGTTTTATATTTAACTTTGTGTATTTATCAGAAAATCAGAAATATAATTTTAACTGTACACTATCTATAAAGCACAAAAACATACATATATATATACACCTAGAGTATAGCAGACAAGGCAAAACTGAATTAACCATTAGACTAATACCTGCTGAAAAGGGAGCATAACAAAAGCCAGCTAAAAATTGTGCACTGAATACACACTTTGCTGGCGCTTCAAAAATTTAAGAAACAAAACAAATTTCGCATTCAAACATGTCCAACTGTCCACCAGTCAGTCAGTCATTCACTATCAATCACCGAGAGCAAGATTAACAAACTAAAACTGACGAAGAGCAGAGCAAAGTACTTGACTAACCAACTAAAATTAGATCATAAGTCGAGGGAATCGCTATACAAACATAATAACTAAACCGACTAATGCTGAATTCTGCATTTCATTCGATAATTAACCCTACTAACAATGAATCAAACAAACACAGGACAACAAGTCCTTAGCTGACATGGAGTGACAAAGAAAATATCAACATATGAATAAAAGAGTTATATAACATGAATTGGAACGCACAGAATAGAACAGACTATATAAACAAAAATACATGTATGAATATACGTCATTGTACAATTTTTTTAATTTAGACTAATTTGCCATAATTTGCTAAGCAAATAAATTCTGTACATAAAGCAAAACACACACAAAACGCACAAAAACAAGAATTAACCGTAACTGAAACGCATATAATATATTATTATATAAGTGTACAATTCTATATATGGCTTACAAAAATGTTATGTACATTCAAAAGGCAAGAACGCAAAGTAGAAAATTATTATTATTCGCTAATCTAGGCATAAATAACATGTAAGTGTTCATACAATTAAGGCTGGAATGAAAACAAAAAACCAACAAAAAACAACAACTAAAAGAAAAACAAACAAAAAAATCTAATGTATTTATGTTTTATTTGTAGTTTTTTAAAGCAATAATCATTTTAAAAATATGAATTTGATTTTAATTAATTTCACAAGTACGCTTATAATTATGATTTGCTGTCAATAAATAAACAACTGAAAAATCATAAACCATACAAATCAAGTTTGATTGAACGACTAAATAAATATATTTTTGTAAATAAAACTGAATTATAAATCTTGTTTTTCTTAAGGGGCTCTGAAGCAAAAATAACTGGAGAAGAAATCGTTTTCTACCCAAAGAAAGCAGTATCCAAAAAATAATAAATGAAATTTAAAGAACCATAACTAGTGTTGTACGATTGGGCAGATTTAAATAATTTTATTAATTCAAAATAAGAATCACTTTTAGAAATGCAAAGAAATATGGCTTAGATTCAGGAAAGATTGCAATTATAATCATTCATATATTGATACCGAGTTATTGTGCTTTATTTAAAAGTCGTGTTATCTGTTAAAAAATGTAATTTTTAGAAATAATATAAGTTTTTTTTTATGGAAAACCAAATTTAAAAAGTTTTTTAAATTTCTCTAATATATAAAAGTTACACATTTTTGTTCAAAGGAAATACAATCACTTTTAAGCTTTTAAAAAGAGATAAACTTCAGAAAGGAATATTATATAAAGCCTAGTACTAAGATCAGTTAAAATTCAAAAATGTTATTTGCGGGAAAGGGCCTTTAAAGAGTATTCTCAACTAGTACGGTCGTACTATTAATCAGCTGAGTTCGTTGACAAGCAGTTAAAATTCAAAAAACTTAAGTGCAGAACAGAGTTTTTAACGAATATTCTTATGCATATTGCAGAGTTTTCCGGTGTACAATGAAATTATGAAACAATACTACGTAAATTTAAAGTTTTCTTTTAGTAAAACACTGTGTTATTAAATTTTTTTAAAATTTTAACTGTTTTATAGTACGACCGTACCATAATATTAGCAGAGAGGGAGAGGTTAACAGGGGCCATCGATAAATCTGGCAACGCCGGCGGAATACACCCCCAACAATATCCAGCTGAGAGAAAACGTGTTCGAATGGGTAGGAATCGTGCCCCAAAAGCTAGAAATGATACCCCAAGAGCGAACTCAGTTCGTGGCGAGAATCTGGCGAGTGTGGATGCGTTCCGAGCAGATGAAACCGCGTCGAAACAAAAATTCAATTCTGCCCCAATGCAACCAGCAACACCACTAAGCAAGAAAGAAACACCGACTCAAAGTGCAATATTATTTGTCACAGAAAAGATAAAAGATACAAGTGTAGCAGTGACAAAACCGCTGTCCCTTTAAAGTTCAGTTCGAAAATCTCTGTACTCCGCAGGATATATCTTCAAAACCCAAACTTTGGAAAAAAAATCCAATACAGATATCTCTGTGTATATGTATAATGTATGTGCGTGTGCGTGTGAGTGTGCCTGTGGTGGTGGTGCTGCAATAATTGTGAGCGCCAAAAAGCCGAAGAGACGGAGCCGCGCAGCCAAATAAATCTCTCGTCTCTCCAAATCGCGCTTCTCGTTTTCGCGTCGCTTTCTCCAGCTCGAAAGTCGCGTAGTAAAAAGTGTCGGCAATTTCTGCGCCTCGCTGCACCACCCACCCACCAATCTCAACCACTTGGCCACTTTGTTTTTGGTCAAGTCCCTCGCCTCGCCTCGCACTCGGCACTCGAAATTCGAAATTGCGAATTTGGCGCGCACGGGAGCATCAAGTAAGTGAGAGCTAGGGTAAGAGAGAGAGAGAGCTCGTATCCTTAGAGAAAGAGAGTACCCCGTTGATTGCACAATAAAATGGGCAAAACAAAAAGACAAATAACTAACGAAAGCGTGGCCAAAAATAACCGAATTCCCATAAATTTACCAAAGTTTCAATTGATGGGAGAATAAATCAAAATTCGCGCATAGAGGTATGCATTTGTGTGTGTGTGTGAGGTCCTTGTGTTTTGCGCGCCCAAAGAAGTATGCTACGCCGTTTTACTATTTACTACTACGCACACTCCCCCAAAACACACGGACGACCACAATACACTCACACACGGGCACATGGCACATAATAACGGTTTATCGTGTACTACAGACACGCAGCTTACGCAGCTGCGTAAAATCTCAAGGCTTGACCAATACCCCGTAACCTCTGGCTGGCCTTCCAACTCCCAACTCGCCCTAATACCAGCACCCCCCTCCCCAGACCCAGCCGCTGCAGCTTTGTAAGCTGTTTACCCATATAAATATATACATATATATAGAGACATACATGCGTGGGTAACGGGCCATGAGAATATTATTCTTTTGGGCTTTACGTCTTGGCCTTCAAAGTCGATGAGATCTATCCCGCAGAAAATATGGTATCACATAAATACCGTTTGAAAGATAAGGTTTAATTAGATACAAAAAAAAATAATGAATGCTTTGAATTTGTAAAATGAATGCTCAAAGAATCTTTGGCTTAAAATAATAATTACTTCAGTGAGTTGATATGAAAATATCAGATTACCTTTTCATAAGTATATTTAACCACAAAAAGTTATGCTTTGTAAGCTTTATACCAAAGAAAAGCAAGTAGTCTACTTTTTACTGTGAATTCTTAAGTTTAAATCGCAAAAAATAAGGGAATATAATGTTCGCAGGCAAAAGTCCAAAAAAAATGTTGTTTAATCTTTTAAAACTGATTTACAATATTTTAAAAGCCAAAATAGGCCATAATTTTAACAAACTAAACACCCAAAAAAGAAGTGCCTTTCTACCTTGTGTTCTTAATGCAACAAAATAATTTTTATTTAACCTGCAATTGTGTATTACGATACCAAGTAATAAAATGAAGTCTATAATGTATTATCGCTTATTTATTGCAGATTTTGCTTTTATATAGAAATTCAAGTTCTTAAATTAATTTATTGTTAAATTTTTAATATAAATTGATTTAAATAATGTTGCCAAACGTTAATTTCAAAGCTCATATTACTCCGGTATTCGAAAACACATGGGCAACTGTGATGCAAAAGAGCCTTTCAACATATAACAATAAATATGTCATATGGCCTGCTTAAAAGCCAACAGCGAACAGATTTATAACTTATCAACATTTTCTACTGCCAGACACACAGACATGTCCGTCTTTGGTTGTAAAAAAGTTTTGTACGCCGCCTATTGAAATTTTCACAGGCACATTAATTCCATTACGAAAACTCCCAAGGCCATATTGCTTTTAAGCTACCGCTGCTGTGTGGGACAAACAAAACCAAAAGTCAGGCCAAACATAAAACGGCAAAGGCAAACAAAACAGAGAGGCAAAATGTGTGGGGGAAATCGGGAAGGGAAAGGACCAACGCGCAGGATGGGGAAATGGAAAAAAGAATGGCAGGAGCTAGCGATATATGCGATATAATAAATCTTTTGTATAACACGCAAAACTTTATGAACGTGCGCCAACTATAAACTTTCACTTTCCAACAATGGATTCGCCCGTTTGACGTTGCCTGACGCTAACGTTGCGTATACGCCATGTTGCACATGGTTTTATTTTTATTATCACTATTATTTTGTTTCATTTTTTCCGACCCGAGACCCTTCGGGAAAGGCTATTTTGATGGCGTAATCGTAAATGAGAAACTTTCAGTTGAATGCATTGAATAGGGTATTAAATATTAATGTTCGTATTTAGTAAATCCTATCCTTTCAATTAATAGTTCAAGTAAATGTAATGTTAACTCAAAGCCTAGTTCTCTGACTAAGAGGACTCTATAAATTCGTTATCACCTAAAAAATCTATAAAGCTAGAAAATCAGTTTATATGAATTTAATCTATGAGTTTTAAAACAGATTGTCGAACACTTAAAAAATCAAAGACAATTTCATTTACCACTAATAATAATTTTTCAATACAATTGCATTATGACATCTCACTCATAAAAAAATTTCGTTTGAGTTTATTATTTCTTGAAAATGTAAATATTAAAAAAAAAAAGGAAAATAATTGTGGAAATCCTCAAGGGTATCGGAATATTACCTACGATTTTTTAATTTTGCAACCACAATACCCTGCTGTCAAATTAGAAAAGTTGAATATGTCTGCAGGGTATATAAATTTCGGTTTGCGTAAGTGGGGATCCTTTCTTGTTAATTAACTTTTAAGATAGGAAATACAACTACATTTTTGATTGGCACAGCTAAGGACAGTAACGTGGCATATGAGGCAACATGGGTTAGTTTATGGTTAAAATTGCCTACTTTTAAGGGCTTGCAGCAAAGTCGTTGACTCGCTGCTGTTTCTGCATGTGGTTCTGCTTCGATGTCGCATCCCCAGCGTGGATGGCGCTCCACTTCTGTCAAACTTTTTGATGTTGAGGCAGCAGAGGAAACGGCGGGGGTGGAAATCAGAAAAGCGTGCGAAATCCGGTTATATACACACATATATTTAGATATGCGGAGGAGGCGTGCATATGTGAGTGCGTATTGGCCGCAATAAATTGTCTTTCTTTCTTGCGGATGTGGTTGTAGTTGCTGGGCTGGAGCCCAGGCAAAAGGCTTGCAGCGTATTTAATGAAAATTATTACGCGATATCCTTGGGGATGCAGGGCAGGCAGGATGTATGGCAATGTGCGCCTTGTTAGGGGGTGGCATGCCCATACAAAAAAGGACGTCTCTCTGTCGAAACCAGGAGTGTGGGTGAATGAGTGAAGCCGCCTTCCCACACTGCGCATGTGTACGCCAGAGTCGAGTTCGAGTTTCGAGCTCGAAAACATCCCGAAGTTGCTCCTGTCTGTGTGTGTGTGAGTTATGCCACTGCATCTGTGTGCGTGTGGGGGCGGGGTGGGTGGTAACGCATTTCTAGGTCAAATCCACTTGGAGCCAGGGAATCAGCCCGTTCAGCCCCATCCGCAATCAAAATCGTGAAAACATATATGGCTGAAATATTTCTGGTCTGTTTGAGAGCAAATGGAAAACTATTCCTAAACCTATTCTCTTTGCCTAATATACGAAAATAAATATCGCTAGACCACAAAACCAAATGTTCGCATATTTAAAAAAAGTTTTGCTCAAAATTATAAACTTTTATAACAATCATGGCCCAAAGCCTGATGGCCAATAAAAGTAATCGTCTCTTTTCTGTTTATTTTATTTAAAAACCAACCGTACATTTGGAAAGATAGTAAAACATACAGATACATCAGGGCTATCACTTTCTTTAAATTTGATATGTGCTAAAATCAAGCAGTTAATTCATTTTACAAAAAACCAATTTCATTATAAACAAAAATAAAAAGAATAATTAATAAGAAGAAATATAGAATATAATTTTAATATTTCAACATTTGCTCTGCCCTAACTCACTTGTATTTGTATACTTATTCAACTTTCTCTTCTTAATTTCAGGTTAGAAACACATATAAGCAAGCCACTCATCCAACTACCAGCTCAATTAACATTTGTCACCGAAACTAAAAAACCGTGCACAAAAGGTTTGCAACAATGTTGAATATACACGGAAAAAGCAATAAAGACTTTTGGCAACAAAAATTATTCTGCTTAGAAGCGTTCACTACAAGTATATGAAAAACAAACATAAACTAAAACGAAAACTAACTAACCAATGCAATTAAAACAAAAGTTATAAACTATTGTGATGATGCAGAGAACATTTTTCGTGAAGTGTCAATAGGTGAAGAAAATAATTAAAACGGAAATTCTATTTATTTTGTAAACTGTTCTGTGGTGTTTATTCCATGTGCACAACACGAGAACAATAAAAAATCGACATTTTGGAAACCGAAAACCAATCGATAGTGTGGGGGCAAGCCGCAAACAAGGGATTTAATCGTGAGCTATCCAAAACAAATTGATCCACATAAATACGCACACGGACAGCGAAACAAGCAAAAATGGAGAGCAAACACTGGAGCTGCTTTGTGGCCATTGTGCTGGGCGTGCTAATATTCAAAATGCACATATTTGTTGCATTCGCCGATCAGGATGAGGATATACCACACAACGAGTAAGTTTTATTCATCATCCAGCATCTGACATCCGACAGCCAACACCCAACAGCTTCAATTATGCATTTGTCAAATAATTTGGCAATTTCCTCGGACAGGAAATTAATTGTAAATTTGTTTATTCTCCCCGAAACGTTTCAACAGTGTTTTCCCCCTGCTCATTGTTCTACATATAATTTACCCGATATCTCGTCAACAATTCAACAAACAAACTGCTGAAACATTTATGCAAATTTGAACTGTTTTTGCTTTTGGATGGACGAAATTCGTTAGTGTTTAGTTTTCCGCTGAATAATTTAGCTAAACAAATTTTAGTTTGAACTGTAAAAGTTAGGTGTTTATAACTATTGGGCTGAATTACAAATTTCAATTAAAATAAGTCAATAATTGGCCAGATAAATATGTTAAATGCCATTTCTATTTCTACTTGTAAGCCCTTGTGAGTAGACATATATATTGCAGCATTAAAATATTTTAAAGGTCCTTTTGTCAATGCCCTATAAAATGTAAGTTTAGTAATTATTTTGTATATAAATGTTTTTATGCATCATCAGGATTTTATGTATACCAAAATCTCTTGTGCAAAACTTTGCCCATTCGTTTGCCTTTATAGACCGATTTATTTATGATTATTACTTTGTTTACCACACTCAGATTGGAATAAAATCAGCTCACTCCCTCTTATTTCTCTTTATAGTTATAGTTATAGCTATCGTTTTCGTACAAGAAGCATATTGAAGCGAATGTCACCAAAAGGGGGATTTCATTAAAAATGTGCATAAATGAAAAATAATGAGCGATAAAATGTCATCAACAAAAGATATCTTTTCATCATTATGTATACACCAAGATGTTTATGAATTGTATATATGAGAATTCGAATTCTATTAGTCGGAGGTTAGGGAACTTTCTGATGTGGCGACGCGATACTTTTGTGCCTGACGGTAGGGTGTGTGCGTATCTAATGGATACATAATAGGATTTTGCAATTAGCCTCACACGACGACTGGTGGGTTGGTTGGTTCGGTGGCACGGTGTTGCAGAGAAAGGCAACACACGTAACCGCAACGTTCACTTGGCTAATTAACCCAAAAACCAACTGCCATTTGCAGGCAAGGACAACTGGCGGCTGGTGGGAGTTTTGTGGGTCGACCAGGAACCGGAACAGACACACTAAGTGATTTTTTTTTGGTGCTGCTTTTCTATCTAATGTCACTTTTATTTATTGAAATTAGTTTTGGCATGTGGCTTTTGTGTTGAAATTCAATTAGTTATTTGTTGAAGCGTTTGCTTTCTGGTCATTTCATTGCTTAGTGCTTAACTGAAAGTTTTCTCTTTAAGCAAAACTTAAGGAAAGCCGTTTCAATAAATACATGTATGTTGGTGGATATCAATTAATTAGAAATTGCCATTAAAATGTTTCCAGCTTTTGTATGAATACATACACCAAGGAGAAAAACTTTGTTGTTTATTTTCAGCAAGGCCTTGGTTTAATTATTAAACAAAAAGTGTATATAAGATCGACTAACATGCAATTATGAGGACCATTAGGTGTCAATTTTCCCGTTTTCATAACTAAACTCTCTTAACTCTTTGACTTCTCTTTTATTCTCGTCCGTCTTCGGCTGCTGACATGTTGTGGCACATGCGTAAAATAAATTTCATTAATTTGAAAAACAAACTTTTGCTTTCGCTGTTGGCCGGGTTTCTTTCGACTCGTCTCTTCTCTGGCGACCATGTTGCCATTTGCTTTATGTCACTGCAGAAATTCAATTAAATTTATTTCAACTTTTGCTGGCAGGCGGCAAAAACAACCAGACCGTTCGGTCGAGTTGCTGCCTTGAGGGTCCAGCTTTGACGATTATGTTTTGGCAAGGCCCGATGATGACGATGATGAAGTTGGTCCGGCTTCTGGATTCTGGTCCTGTTAGTGGCAATGGTCCTGGTCTTTAGTGTCGGTGCCATTGCTTTTGCTTTGACCCAAATCCCGCTCCACAATAGAGGCGAGGCGAAGTCGAAAGCGTTATTTTCCCTCGCCTGGCCCGCTTTTCCTTTGGCCTGGCCTTCAACGGGTTTTCCTTAGGCCGTCCGCATTTCCATCGCGCCCCCCTTTTGCCGCCCATTCATTTGCCTCATTTTCAGTTGCAGTTGTAGCCATCGCCATTTTAATGCATGCCTCGTTTGCTTAAGCATCCTTTTCCTCATCCTTCGCCATCCGAAAGGCAGTTGCATTGACAGCATCTTATGGGTCACGTGCCGTGGCCAGAAACTTTAAACGGAGGAAAAGGGGACCGCCTGTGTCAACAGGATTGTTACATGATTCCTTTTCTGGCACGGCCAGCAGATGAGCGATCGATTCAGGACCTCACTCAACTCGGCTGGAAATTAATCGAACTGAAGAACTTTCTTTATGTGCAAGTTTTTACTGTCCATTTAAGTCGTTTTTTACTTAAGCGATTTCGAAATTTACCATTTGCAACTTGTTTAAATAGTTCTTCTGATAACCAATTGATTTTAAGCTAGATAACAAAATGTGTGTTTGTTAAAATAATAAAAATAAGAAAGAAATCAAAAAATAAGCTTCAAACCTTTCTTTAAAAAAATTCTTATATTACTTAAATGGTTTTCTATTATACTATAATAATATGTAATAACTATACTTCTATCGTCTCGAAAATAATCTAATCAATTTTTTTATTAAACGCAAGGTAATGTTACCCTAGCTGCCTGAAATTACCATCCTTTCATGATTTTAATCGTAATGTTTAATTCGTTTAATCTGCAACTGGCACACTTGCTGCTTAAAACCAATTTGCATTCGAAAAACTGCGCTGTTTTTCAGCTTGGGCGTGGCAGATCTAATTACCACGGGGGCAGCTTAAGTGAATAAATAAAGCAAAATAAATAAAAAGGGAGCAAACAGAGCACTAACTACTTATGACAAATGACAGTGAAAGTGCATTAAGCAGAAGTTGATCCAGAGACACAAACAGAAGCGACAGCAGTGTTTTACGTCTAGCGCATTATTTTGGTTTTTATTTTCCACCTTCCGCCAGTCGTAATTCCTCCTTAGTTTTTTTTAAAGTGGGTTTTGAATTAGTATGGAACACAACAAATTAATTAGCAGAAGTTAGCTTGCAAAACATGTTAGGTACTTAGATCGCGAACGACAGTTGGCTTCCGGATTTAATTAAACTAACAGTCTTTGATGACATTATAAATTTAGAGTTTTTCCAAAATATATAAAATAGTTTCTATAACTCAAAGAAATTAAAAACCACATAAAGCGAAAACATCAACAGATCTTTACAAAATATATCTTAACAAAAACAATGTGTGTCGGATTATAATTTTTCGATGTTTTAAAATTAAAGGAAATTAGGGATCCAATGAAGGACGGCTCACCAAAACATAGAAACGTTTACCCTTTTAGCAAAAATAAAATATATTTGCCTTGAAAAAATCTACTTTATCTATAAAATTTTACTTCAGGTTCGATTTATATTTTTGTTATTACTTTAAGCTCCGTCGGCCTATGATTCTCTTTAAATTAATATGAAATCGATTTTCATTTTAGAACCGATTTTAAATTTAATTTTACTGGAAAGTATTTGCTTGAACATTTTAATACCTTTGCACACGTTGAAGGCTCATTGAAGTGCGCTTTTGTGATTGCGCATTCAAGTCTGCTGGCAGCGTCAGAAGAGGACTCATTTCAATTTCAATGATGCAAAATGGCAAAAACCCATTGACCTACTCTATGGAACTGCTACTACTACTACTACTACCCAACAGCCTATTTCCACCTGCCTCGGCATAAACTTGCCGCCCGAGAAAAGTGAAAAACTGCAAAGACAAACGTGAAACAACCGAGGAGAACAAATGTGAAAAAATGCAATGGAACGAAACTGGTTCGATGGCTTTGGGTGTATGGTACTTGAGCATGACATACGTGGTTGGTTCGTGCTCAAAAAGCTGAGACAGAATAGAAAGTCACTACGAATACACCTGAGCACTACCCCCACAGATACATAGTTTTAGCCATTGTCAAGTTTCTGGTCGAGCAGCAAAAAAAGTATCTATGTGTAAAACAAAATCTGACTTTTTATTTTGCTGGCCACAGGCAGCAGGAAGAGTCCAAAGAATCGGAAAAAAAACCTCTTCCACTTCAGCCCAAGAAAATGACGTTGATGGCCTTTCATTGCTGTTGGCTGCTTTGGACCCGATTCTCAATGTTTTTCTTGTTTCTTTGGAAATGTGTTCGAGTTTATGCATTGTTCTCCTACTCTCTGTATATATGTGTATTTTCCACATGAACTGAGTGGCGTTTCTTGAATATTTTTTGATAGCACCCAACTGAAATAGAATGTCGTACTGAGCTTAAAAGCCAAATTTCGTTATGCATTCCTACTCATATCTATGCTGGAAAACTACATATTTGAAATGTATTTTAGGAATATAGGACTGAGTATTTATGCACAGACATTCCAAAAAGATTTCTTGTTATATATATCCGTTAAGATAAACCTATAGTTGTTATTTCATTGTTCAATAATTCTTGAATTAATATCCTTGAATAGTTTTGAGAACTTTTAAGTGATTTCTTTTAGTGGAAATACCCATTTTTATTGCTATAAACTTAACTCAAATCTGTAAACTCCTTGCCACTTAACTAGTAATCCCACTCGCTTATAGTTCACCCTTACATGGTGTGACTCCCATTTAATTATCATCACTTGACCCAACCATAATTTCGCAAGCTCTTTGTTGTTGCCAGCCATCAGCATTATCCAATTTCAATCACTTTGTTGGCCACTTTATTTCGCTTCATTGTTTACGCTTTCATTGCTGCGGGCCACGCAGATGCGGGGAGTGCTCGAGTTTTCGTTTATAATACAATTTTCATATAATTTAAATTCATTTTTGGCATCGCCCGAGCCATAAAACTTTGTCTGTAGCCGCTTGACTGCAGTTGCACTTCCTTCCCATCGCAATCTGCTGTCTTTTTCCTCCGCCATTTCCACCTCCCCGTTCGTTGGCCATAGCATATAAACATGCGCTTATTTTGTATCTAGATGGGCGAGCTACGTCCTCGTCGTCTTTGCTTCGGTCGGTGGCTCGCCGACGGCTCAACATAATCAACATTGCGTATACGCAACGTTGCTGCGGTTACTGCTGCCCGAGCAGAAGTTTCCTTGGAGTTTCACATCCCTCTCTGCGCCACCGTATTGATATTGCAGATAATGCCATAAAATTGTGCAAATATTTTTGGGGGCATTATTCTGCAAGGGGTTTACTCTGGCTCAACTTGACTTTGTTTTTTGGTTGTTTTTTCTCGTTCATACTTTTTATAATATTATATTTTTTTTTGTCTATATCAACGCTTAGACGTTGGTTCTTGATGCTTTATTTTCAATTTGCTGTTGCTCCAGTCACATTCCCCTTCCCTGGGACTTGTTTTATGAGCACTCGTTGTGCTGCCTTTGTTTTGCTTTTGACTTTCGCGTTTAGATTATAAATGTTTGGCAAATGTTTTCACAATAGTTTGGCTGTTGGTCCTGCTGTTATCCCTCGACCCTTGAGAGTTCTCCCTTCCCATCCGTTGGTCCTCTGTAATGAGTTTTGCTGCTGTCTTGGGTGTTTCTCAAGTGAGTTGGACTTTAGTCCGGTCCTGCAAAATACATAGTTTTTTTGTTTCGCAGAAAACTTATTAGCTAATATTGAACAAATATTTTCCCAGAGTACATTTTCCTTAATGATAATAATGGTTATGAGTTCTTGCCATCCAGTCATTTATTGCTTAATGAGAGATTTTTATGCGTATGCGTAATGAGCTGGAAATAATTAATGCAAAAATTGAAATCGATTTTAATTGATTTTTAATCAGCCACGTGTCGATGAATTGCAATATTATTGGCCTTAAAAATATTTAACGAGTTCAGAGCAACGATAATTGTTTATATTAAAGTCTTTAATAAATGTAGATTAAGTAAGATTGGTCGCTTGAAATCAACCTGTTAAAAGTTGTAAACATTTTGAATGATACCCTCAAAGTCACGTTTTAAGCTTTAAAACAAAACTGGTGCCAATTAAAATGTTGATATATGATACTGAGAGTTGATTGGTAAAGTCCCAATTAAATGTCATACAATTATGTGATAGCCTTTAAAATTCAAGTAAACCTTGTGGCAATTAAATCATGACACATAATACTTCGGGCTTGACGAGTTTGGAAATTTTTTTAATGTTGAAGGAATGCAATAAAAGATTATCAGACCAATAATATTCTTAATTCATTTCACAATAATTCTTGTGTAAAAGTTTAGCAAATCAATTGTTTTCATTCACAAATTGTTAGATCCAATTATTAAAATAAAAACTGAACCATATCTTACTTTATTTTTCAGGGTTCGCAATTGGGCCTTGAAGTTCGGCGTTGACTTGTGGGAGTTTGGACGGCAATTTACCAAAATGAACGAGATCAAAAATGTAAGTAATTACGGCGGCTATTCTGGCTAGACGACAAACAAACAAATATGCTCTTCGATGGGAGTGATAATATAGACATATGTATCTGATAATCCTGACATGTGGGTACGACCAATCGCATTGGGTAATGGCTTCGATTGTCTGGCTCGGTTTAGTTAAAACAAATACACTTAAGCTCTTTGGGCACTTAGTTGAACTTATCGATAAGAAAGAATATATCGGTAAAAGCTTTGAATGGCGCAGCTTAGTGGAAGCTTAACTAGCAAATGCGTCAATTTTTCGTGTTTTCCCTTCTGACGTTCTTATTTGGTTCCTCTGTTGTTTGTTGTTTGCCCCTAATGCAATTTAAACACAAATAAGGCTAATTGGGGGGGCAAACGTGGGTTAAGCGGGCTGATATAAGTATGTGCCCGGGTGCTATCTATGTTAATAAGCACGGCTGTGTTTGGATTTGGTTGACTGCGTGGCCTGCGGTGAAAGATGGTGGGTTCTAAGGCGGCCACGTGTGGGTTCCGCCCCCTCTTTTTAGCCAGTCGCGTATTTTCGCGTTTAATCAGACGTGCATGAGTTAGTAGGTTGCTTTTATTGGGCGAGTGTGTACGTTGTGATTATGTGCCAGAGAATTACGTTTATGCGGATTTACATACAGAACGAACATACACTGTATTTTTCTGGTGAAGAAAAATGATAATATGTTTTGCGATTACATTTAAAACGCATTTTTTTTGATTCAGCATTTACTTAAGCTTTCCAACAACTTAAAATACAACTCTAAATGCCATGTAATCATTATTTTAAATAAAAAACTAATTTGGGTGCACTCTTATGCTATTGAATTTAAGTAAAAGTAATTTTTCATAGATTTTATTTTTAGAGCCCAGAAAATGTTTTAGATTCCCAAAATAATTTTTTTTAGAATAATTAAAAATCTATTTAAGCGTTAGTTTTTAACATATAAAAGAACAGAAATGTTGGCCAAAAGCTGGCTTAAAATCAATATTATCTTAAATAATAATAAGCAGCTTTTAAGTCAATACTAATAATGTAGATAAATAACAACGTTAATTACTTAATTTTTTTTAATGCGTAAAATTAATGTAGTACTTGATCTTGCTAAATAATGGTATATATATCAGGCAATTTATACAGGGAAACAGGAATGAAGAAGGGGCATGGATTCAGTTGGTACAGCCGAGAAAAGCGAGTTGCGGAGGAGGCGACAGGATTCGGGGCCAGAAAGGCAGCTAAAATGCAAATAAATTTGCTGGCTGTGACTGTCATTGAGTCTGTAATTGTCAAGTGCCTTGTTGCTGTTGCTTTGCTCCTGCCCGTGTGTATATGTGTATGTGTGTGTGTGTTTCGTTGTTGTTGTCGTGTTGGGTGGTGGTGGATGTGTGTGTATGGGTGTTGCTGTCGCTGACAACGTTTGTTTGTGTTAATTTAAAGCGCACGTCTCTTACAACGGCAAAAAATGAAAACCTACGCCCAGATTGAATTAAATATCAAGTATACGCCGCGTTGTGCGTTTGGCGGAAATGGTCTGTGTCGTTGTATATATATGTATTCGTATATGCTCTATAAACATTATATCATACCATTTTGTGCGTGTGAAAGTTGATCTGTCCTTCCGTGGGCGTTGTTTGTTTTTGGTGTTGTTAGTGGTTATGTGAGTGCCGCCCTTGTTAACGCCTTTCTCTTTGGCATCAACCTTCGATGGTTTGGCCAATAAATTGTGTGTATTATAAAATTATTGACATGCTACCAACAAAAAGAGCGTTTGCAGTGGTTTGGTACATATAAACTATGGGATTTAAAAAAATAGGGGGATAAAAAGGTGTCAGTTTATTAGACTGCGCTTATTTACTAAAAAAATACTTGGCTTACAGCTGTATTGCATATATATTTAAAGATTTTTTCAATTAAAGTAACGTCAATAAAAATAATGGTATGTATAATAAATGTTTCTCAGTGGAATCAAGTAAAAACAAAAAACAAAAAATTGATAAAGAATCTAGCCGTAACTCTTTCACAATTAAATCACATTTTAAGTTCAGAAAATAAAAAAAATAGAGAATTATTTATTTTAAAATTAATTTTCATCGGGTAAATAGTTATTTTCTTCAATCTTCTGGTCAATCCAGTGCTTAAATTCGGCCACGTCTGTATAGGTGCCGGGAACGTCCTTTTGTTTACATCCAACGCCCCAGTTGACAATGCCAATCTGCTCGAACCGTTCGGGATCCTCGTCCATTGGGCAGAAAAGTGCGCCACCGCCATCGCCGGTGCAGGCATCCTTGCCCTCCTCGCCGCCGGCACAAATCAACCCGAAACCCAGTTGGAAGTCTGTGCCCAGCCTGGTTTTTCGCAGCTGATTCTGGCAAATGTCCCTTGGCACGATAGGCAACTCTATTTTCTTCAGCACAGTAGCGAAATTCTCATCTCTAAATCCATTTTTACCCCAGCCAGCCACCATACAACGTTTAGAATTCAACGACCTCTTCTCGGCGGGCAGACATATGGTATTAATCCGATAAGTTAGTGAGTATGTGGTGTCCAGGAACAGAAGAGCCAAGTTATTAAGTCCATGTTTATAATCAAATGACTCGTGCCTCACAATTTTCAACACATTTGCCTCTTCATATGGGTAGTCTTTAAAGGAATTTCCATATTCCCATTCTCCTGCGCTGACTTTAAAATCCTCTGTTGTTATATTAACTAGCCGATGAGCTGCAGTAAGGACGACATCTGGTGCAATGAGCGAGCCAACACCAATAAAGCTCAGATTATAGATCAGGGCGATTGTCCAAGGAAATTCTCCAGGTCTTGCTTGATTGCCAGTTATATTTAGATTTAAATGAAAAGCCTTTGGACTAGCTTGACCGCACTTTGGCTCTTCTGATATATATTCAGTTTCCTAAAATTGATAAATATAATTGAGTGATTGCAACAAAAATATAATAAAAAATTTATGATTTTATTTTGGTAAAAAAAAAAGTTATATAGATTTATTAATTTCCTCAAAAAGTCGGACTTTAGGATGCTACACTATTTTCTATTTTTTGTGGTATTTATAAATAGTGTTGCATATTTTATGGGTTTTATGTAAGCATTGAACTTACCAGATAAAAAAATTAGATACAGAGAAATTTATAATACTTCGACGCATCGGCTTAATGCCGAGAATAAAGTAGACTAGTTTAAAATAACTATACATCCACACCAAATGAGACATAAAAAAGTACATTTTTTAGGGTAATATTTATATCATTGACACTTACCTCCTCATTTTTTTGATCGTCTGGAACGTTTTCAGCGGCGCTGAAAATAATAAAGCCGGAAAGTAAAATCAGCAATGTCCAGACCTTAGACATGTTTCTTCACCGAGTTTTTTAATCAAATTGAACATGTATTCTAGACATATTTTATTAAACAAAACGTTATCAGTCCATGTTTATTAATATTATGTTTTATTATACCTGTTACTCGAAAAGTATAAGGGTATATTGTATTTGTTGAAAAGTTGAACAGGATCAATAGCCGAGTCGATCTGTCTGTCTAAAAGACAGAGATTTGGGACTTAACATGATGATTTTAGGTATGCCAAGGCAGCACAACCTAAACATCGGTTGTTTGGCGACATGAGAATATTTATTAAGAAATTGCTTAGACGAGTAACGGGTACTTTATTGTCGAGACACTCGACAATAGCGTTTCACATCGTTTACTTTTTGTTTTAGAAACAAAATTTAAAATTTAAGTAGCAATTTAATTTTTATTGTATATAATTATGGAATGCAAATAATTAAAAAAAATAATAATATTGCACACAAATTTTTTAATAATAATATTATTTTCATAATTTTTTGAAAATATTTATACTTTAAAAAAAAACATCGTTCGAATATTTTCAATAACTAAATGTTTAATTTGGTAAAATCAATTAACTATATGTGTTTAAGTCACATTTAAATGTTTACATTTAAATGAAAAAAATGAACAACATAACTTGAAGTCCCCTACGTCATTTTCTTTTTGTTATATTGCTGACACATTTTTTTTGTTCTTGTTGTCCTTCAAAAAATGTTTTGCAATATAATAAAAGGGGGAAAAACAGAAAATTAAAAAGGAAAGCGGACAATATTGTGGGTGTGGTTCGCCCGCCAGCTTTGCCTGGCTCGCATATATTTCTCCTGTTGTTTTGCTGTTGCCGCTTTTTTTTCTATTTTGGGTAGCTGCTTTTTCCGTTTGGCATTTTAAAGTAGCATAATAAAATGTAAAACAAATGCAGCGCACACGTTCAGTTATGCGAAAGGCGTCGCAGGACAACAGGAACGCCGAGGACAACAACAACCCGAAGACAAAATGGCTGCTACGAATGAGGAGCAGAAAGAGAGAAGGATAAGGATGGGGTCCTGTGAGAGAGAGTGTGTGTGCGGAATGCCTGTGCGTGGCGCATATTCATTTATTTTATTTTCCGTATGCTTCTTGAAAGCGTTTAACGCTGACTAGCTAAAAAAGTATCTACCTAAGCCATGAAATATGTTCTTCGGACAGATACAACCAACAGCTCGTGTACGGTGTCTCTAGGGACACGACGAAAATTAAATACACTTTCTAATATGTGATCAATAATATGTTAGATACAATAATATGATCACCATAACTTACAAAATAGTACATTTTAAAAATTATTAAGTAAAAAAGCCTTCAAATCTTAGTAGTAAATAAGGTCTATTAGGCAATCAAATAGATCTTATTCACTACTTTGAAACCAGAACAAGCTCAATTCCGGGAATAATTATATGATTATTTAAATAAACAAATCAAGTAACCTTCTATTATCAAAAAAAATAATAATTATATTTATAGAATTCCCCACAATTTACTTAGCCTTATCTGCGATTTTTTCCAGAGAATTTTACTATATAGAATCTATACAATAGGTATGAGTCCAGAGTATATATGTTTATTCTTTATTAGCAACACCAAGTCACACAGTGTGTTGTCTTTTTAAGGTGTAAAGGTTATCGGCATTCTACGAACGCCTCAAGAATTATTTCTTGTATCTGTCTAGGGAATGATTGCTAGCTTTTAAAATCCGAAGACTAAATCCAATTGCGAAAATGGGAATAATAAAAAATAAGCAATTACCTTTTTAATTACTCAGCAATAGAGTTCAAAGATTAATCACTGTGGTTGTAATATAAACCATTTTTTGAGCTAATATGTATGTATAATTGATCGTTACGGAACTATTTAATCTCCACTGAAAGTGGAAGTAGAGCTGGTTACCCTATAATACAAGCTGAAACAAAGACGGAAAGGCTTTATCGACAACACGGCAGCACAAATGGCCAAAACGACAGGAGCTCTCTCACTTGGCGTATGTGCCGCCATTATGTCAAATGATGATTTGCAGCTAACGATGCTGATGATCATTTTGTTTAACATCTGGGCTCTCACTTGCACTGAAATATGGGTCAAATTCAAGTGAAAATTACCTTCTCGCTCTATTTTCGTTGTGCTGGCAAATAAATTTAAGCGTGCTCTCATTTTGCACGTAATACAAAACTTTTTAACAGCGAAAAAATATAAGAAAACAAAACTGGCGCGTGCCGTCGTTTTTCTTCAGCGTCCAAGCTTTGCTCTTCTTGAGCGTTTCCCATTTTCCCTCCCTTATGTCATTTTCCTAGTCGACTCCCACTGTAAGTGGCATGCAAATTATTGTTTTCTGCCTTTGCCAGCTTATTCTGTACTTTTACTTGCATTGAAGGTACTTTTACCTTCTGTAAGTTGAGGTAATGTTCAGGGGCAAATAGCAAAAGACTAAATATTTTTTTGATTTAATATATTTAAAGGTTAATAAAGGTACATTAAATTTTAATTTTGTAATCATCAGCATCACATGAAATCCGGCTTGTATCAAAATAAACACATCATGGTTTTTACAACTTAAGATATATTAAGAGGCTTTAAGAACGTTCTACATTTGAATGTTAATTTTTAAAAATTAACATTTATTAAATTTTCGTCTTGAAGAAAGTAAGGAATATTTTACATAGTCATCAATTGAATTTAAAGAAAAAAATTAAATGCCTTATGTTCGGTGTCTAAGCAATTATAATTTTTCCAGTGGAGGGGCCGCCTCCCAAAATGCAGATTGCTGGTCATTTGTTTTGTGCAAGTGGTTGCCGACTCCAGCGGTTTAAAACAGGACATCACCATGCAACTCCCATGCGCCGATTCTGCACCATTTCCCGGGCTCGGTGACAAATACAAAGGCCTTGTTAAGGGCCTTGTGGCTAAAACGTGGGGGCGTGGGCCAGAGAGATCGAGTTGGTTTTGTGTGTTTGGCTAACTAAGTGTGTGGCGAGCAGTGTTGCGGACTGCGAAGAGACTAATCGTAAATCAAGGCGACGACTCGGCGACGCACTTGATGGGAGGCGGGGCGGGGGAATCCCCCGATATGGCTGAGGGCAGCTCAACTCCTTTATGGGGCTACTCCACTGGCTTTTGGGCGGTTCAAAATGCATTCGGGCCGCATACCCACACAGTCCTTGATCCTCTCCATGCATATATATATATATGTGTAAATATGTATATATATTCGCAAATGTACATCTGCGTACAGCCAGGACTTGTCTATGCAAATATTTAAGTCTGTCGTTGTCGTTTGGTGGCGAAAATGCGAGCATGACATACAGCTGCCGGCAAACAAATGTTAAGTGGGACGGAGACTTCTCGGGACTAGCCCTTAATGAAAGTATAAAGCAAATTAAATATTTAATTTCATCAAATCCCCGAGGGTTTGTCCATTAAATGGACGTAGCAAATGCCAGGTAGCCATGACTCAACGCCCAGAAGGTTATTTGCTTAATTAAGTAGGGAATAATTAAATGCTGCCCTGCAAACACCATTCAAGATTGGTCATTTTCCAGGAGCTTTGTTATTTTTCACCTTGTGATCAGTGCAGTAATTGTGGTAAGATTTAAAGGAGTTTTTCACAGTACTGTTCTTTTTTGGAGCTTGGCAACAATCTTCCCACTTAAGGGTGGAGGTCATTTATAAGGCAATTATAGCTGCTGAAACAAACTAACTTTTTACCAAAGTATTAAACAAGAAAAGCATGCTAATTTAATCTTGAATGCAGCTCACGCGTAAAAAATAATGAAGCTAATCCATTAAGATGGAAAAAATCAACAAGCTTCATAGAAAGAAAGCAAAAACTACAAAATTTCATTTTGCACAAAGGGAAAGGAAAAATAAAAAAAATAGGGTTTGCTAAGAAATTAGCAAAAAATCTCTGCTTCTATGAACAGGGAAACATGCGCGTTGATGCGAGACATTGTTGCTCGCTTTTTCGCTGGAAGGGAGCTCAAGTTTGGTTTGGGGGGCTGAGAACTAGAGTAGAAGGGTGACAGCGACATCTTCATTAAAATCTAATTAGCGCACTTCCAGACCAAGCCACAAAATGCCAAACCAAACCAAAGAGTTGCTCCGGTTTCTGAGCCCACCGCGGCAGTTGAGCGAATAATAACTCAGACAGAAGGAAACCAGCCCGAAAGTCAATATACTTAGCATAACAATTGCACTGGGGAAAAGCCAATTTAAAATAGTTTTATTTTATCAAAAAATTATAAATTCGATATCTAAATAAATAAAATGTCGGACGTAGTGTCCATATTGAGTAATATTCATAAATTTTTCTTCTTTTAATCTTTAATTCTATTACAATTTTATATAATAATAATAATAATTTTATGCTTTTTTTAAAAACTTAAATTAACCGAAAATGAACAGCTTTTTAACATTTTTTTATTTATAACTTTTCATTTTTTGCAATAACTTCTTTTAAGCCAACAAAAAAAATAAAATACCTTGATTTATAAAAACGCTCTAAAAGGACATCTAGTCATCAAAATAATCTTTAACGCAAGCTGGACTCTCACAAAATGTCTTGTATACATTTTTTATTCGCACAAAATTTTAATTCGATTAAATAATATGTTTTATAAATTTTTTAAAAATAAATTCGTGGACAAATAGAAATATTAGCGTATTGCGTTCGTATTAAACTGTCAAAATTAATATATCTAAACACTTTTTTTACTCGGTTTGATTTGAGTTGTTACTACTAGTTTGCTGATTAAAAAGTCGGAGACTTAAGAAAAATTGAAGAGGGTTAATAAAATGATATCAAATCAAGCATTGTGGCTTGTTTCAGTGCCAAGAGAATTTATAAATTTGCAATGGTTTTCTGTTAGAGGGCGGGTTCAGGTAGCCGATGCTGCTGTTGAATCTGCTACTGCATGCGTAAGCTGCTTAACTTGAGCTGGAATTCAACAGGAGCAGAAGCCAAAGCTCAGGAATGCTCCTTATTCGCAGCTCCGCCCCTCGGATGTCCTTGCTCCAGATAAAGTTCGGCACCAGCTGCATACGCACCCGTCTGTGGGTGGGTCGAGGTTCGCCAGAGGGCTCCTCCTTGCGCAACATTTTCGAATTCCAGAGTCAACCGCAAAATGAAAAACTTTCTATGGCTGCTACTGCTGCTGCTGCTACTGTTCTCGCTCTTCGAGTGCTGCCCATATTGTATACATATTGTATATAGTTTTTGCACCAACTACCCACCCCCGAAACTCCCCACCGCGGCAGGACACTCTCACACACACACACACGTCCTTCAGGCGTGCATTGCATTTCGATGTTGCTCGCGTGGAAATTGCTTTATAAAATGTTGCCATCGCATGAAAGTTGGGTAAGGTTCTTGTGGGCGGGGTCCCTATAGCCGTGGCTAATATCTTACAAGCCCCCGTAGATATACATAAAGAATATAGTATTTTTTTTCATTGATTCTTATTCTTACGCTGTGGCTGCTCGCTTGACATTCTTTTAATTTTCAATCCATTTTCCTTGCGTTCACGATTTTTACTTTGCTTTACTCCTTTTTTAGCCATTGCTTTTGATTTGGTAATAGTTTGCTAATGGTTTTTTCAACAGCTATAAATCATTTTTGGGGGAAAACTTTGGTGGGCCAAGTACTTGCGGGAAATGAAAGTGCTGGAAATTGGCTCAATCTAACTGTTTGGAAAGCGTTAAATACTTTTTAGCTTTTGCTTTTAACAAGCTATTTTAATAAAAACTCAGAAAACATAGAAAACAAAGCTATTCCACCACCGTAACCCTCTAATGCCGAAAGGGGTTGTGAGTCAAGTGCAGCAGCCATATTTTCGGCGCTTAGAATCCTCTGATAGAATGGCATTACAAGTTGCTAGACAAAGTCAGAGAGCAACTCCTTGTGACAGTAATACTTTCTTTTTTTTCTTAACTTGTGTGGGTGACATATTCTTTAGCTAACTAATGAATGCCTCAAAGAGCCTTCTCCTTGCAGTTTTAGTTCTGTGGTCACACACAAGCACACAAATGGAACATGGTTGGATGTTGGCTCAGGCCACAAATATTTGCAACGCGTGTGTGTGGGTTATCTTCTCAGACACCCATACATATTCAAATGCACATGGAGAAAAATGTTAAGTATTAACACTTAAAACAAATTTGAATACCCTTTCAGAGGGTATTATAATTAATCAGCATCAATAGGCGGGTTGATCTAGCCATGTCCTTCTATTCGTCCGGTTGTCCGTCCGTCCGTCTCTCAGTTCAAAAATTAGGAAACAATTACAGAAAATTATTAACTTTTAATTTTTGTTGTTTAAATACAGGTTTTGCCCAGATAATATAAAGCACTTAATCTTGCCCGAAATAAAAATTGATCTTCAAATTTTAATGGATTTCTTGGAACTATTATAAAAGTCAATCGAAAAAAGAATAAATGATCTTCAAAGCAAGCAAGGCAATTCATTGAAGCTCATAAATAAATATAAAATGATTTATGTTTATTTTAATAAACAGTTCTAAGAGTTTACCATCACAAGAAAAGAAGACACAACCATTTTGTCAAGTGGTATTTTATCTTTAAAAAATTAGCATGGAAGGGAAAAATGTTTTGGTTTTTCATAATAATTTTCATAATTAATAGTTGTTTTTAGAGACGGAATTTTCTCTGGGTACATGTATTCATAGCAAGGCATTTTCTTCTATGCCCAAGCAGTTTCTCGACTGCTGCTGCTGCTGGCACTGAATCAGTTAAGAAAAGTTTTCTAATTAATTCGCTGGAGACATGTATAGCGACACACACACACTCACAGGAACGCTGTTTTCTCCATCTCTTTCTCGCCACGTTGCAGCAAAAATATAATTTAACTGACAGTTTGTTTGAAAAGTGACAATTTGAAATGGGCGTGCCTACAGCCCCCTAAATAACTCCATTTCTAAATTGCTAATTTGTGGCACTTAAATGCATGAAAAAGTCATAAAATGCATTTGCTTGCAGAGCCTTTGATTATGATTATGGGAATTCTTCAGGGGAAAAACAGAGAAGAAAGCTCATCAGATTTTTCCATTAAAAGAAACGGCAACACGTCCAATAGAAAAATCATTATACTGGCATAGGTTATTTTTGTGTGCGTGTGTGTTTTGGTTGGGAAAATCAGGACAAAAGGCGGAGGTCGCAATAAATGCGTTGGTCTGCTTCAATCTCAAACGAGAGTGTGTGCGTGTCTTACTTCAGCAGAAGTTCCTTTGGGGATAAGTGTAATGGAATGTGAATCTTAATTAGACATAATTATCACAGTCGCGAGAGCCTTCCTAAATACATAATATTTGTAATTCTTTAATCCTAGCTTTCTATACTCACAAGCAATATCATCTTAAAAGATTTTGGTTTCAAAACAGAAAATTAGGAACCTAAAATCAAATAAATCGCAATACTTTCTTACTATTAAACATGCTCACAAATCAAATAAGTATATTTTAAATTGCTATAAAATAATATACTTCATTTTTTTATCAATATGCCTGATTTAGTTAATTAAAACCGACCAAATTTCAATATAAGCATAAAGGGAAATGCCTAACTTAATCAAACGCTTTCAGTTAATGAAAACCTAATTAAATTAATAAGATACATTAAAATCAATTTAATATCAATTTAAGATTCGCCTGCTGCCATAGAAACGCCGAAAGCCATTTTAAAAGTACATCAACGTTTTATTTGGGACAATAAGAACGCGCAAAAGTTTTACAGCCCCTTAACCCTTTTTTTGTATTCGCGAACCGGCGCCCATCACTTTTATAGTTGATGACTGTGGAATGTACTGAGAATTGTGTATCTGATGATTTTGATTTTCATTTGCAGCGCTTCAAGGACAACGACATCGAAGTGAAACGCAAGGATGGCATTATCCTGCTGCGTGAATTGGCCGCCGAGGTGAAGAACTTTATGGATTTCAAGCGCAACTCTGTCATGGTAAGAAAATATCTTTGACTCTTTCCCCGCCCCCTTCACAACCACTTCTGCCCTTTTACACTGACAGAAAAAAAGAAAGTTAAGGGCTTTATTTTTTTTTAAGTTGAAACCGAAATGTTCATTTACTTTTATTATTAAATTTATAACTATAGCAGTTGTGCCCGTATTTTTATTTATACGCTGCTCTTTAAGAGACTCTTATTCGACTTTTAGAATTGTGTTTCGATTTGGTATAAAAAGAAAACAAACCATAGAATTTCGTTAGGTTTTTCTTCGAATGAAATCCCCAGCTCTTCTGGTGTGCCTACAATTGACAAGTGGCTCAATCTCTTAAAGCTCAAGGGAAAAGTGGCGGGTGGAGAACTCGCAAATTTGAGGACGGCACTAAAAAACACAACAAAACAATAACACGCGGACAGGACACCGTCTCCAGTGGGACACTGGCGTAAAGTGGAAAACAATAAATTGCCATGGGGCCAGTCTCATTGTGGTGGAGCAGTTGGTGTTGGGTTGATCAGTGGGTGGTGGTTTTGCGGAGGTCGGCTGCAAATTAAAATTAAAGTGCGCTCAAGTTTTTGATGGCGCCCGCAACGGCTGCTTGTGCGTCATGAAAACGAATCTCCGTTCCTGCAAAGAGCGAACTGCCAGCCACGCCCCCCGCCCCCTTTTTGCGGTCCTTGTGGTCTGTCTGCCTTTGCGGCTCTCCACTATATCCTGTGTATCAATGAAGTTCAGGATAGGTTAATGATGCCCAGTGGATGATCGGTAAAATTAAAATTAGTTCGGAAAAACAATAAACCTAAGTCAATTTTGCGCTGCATTTATTTGATCTTGTTGTCCGATTTTGAGTAATTCTAATATAGTAAATAATTACTATATCTCAAACGAATATTTTGATAAATACAAAAACAGCAAACAAAATATATTTTTAATTTCCTATGGGAGCTATAAATGCCGGATTTTATTTAATTAAAACGTAATTCCATAATATTTACCAAAGAAAAAAAAAATTAAAAAAACAAAGTTATACTTGTTTTATTTTTTTTTCCGATGTGAGCTTTATGATATATTCGCCCGATCCTGCTCGTTCCTATATATATACTACCTGCAATAGAAAGACAACTTTTTTGAAAAGTTTCAAGCAGATAGCTAGTTTCAAGCACTAGCTTGCGTAGAGACGGACGGACGGATGAACATGGCTAGATCGACTCTCCAGGTGATGCTGAAAGAATATATATATATATATATATATGTATATAATATATAATAAACTTTTGATTGCAATTATAATAACCTATGCAAGGGTATAAAAACTAAGAAGAAGAGATATTGAGAAATCTGTGCGCAAAGTTCAAAATTATTACTGTCATTGTAAATGTTTCTTAAATGTAGGCCGTTGCAAATGAAAGAATAGAATGCTTGTAATGCTTGCTTTTTATTATTATTCGTTCAAAGTAAAGTCGAATTTTTTTTTAAATATATCAGAAAATTCGTCATCGGTGTTGCCAGTGGTGGTCCTTGGTGGGGGACTAGTGTTCCTTTCAGTACTTTGCTGTTCATATCCATTCCAGCCAAAATCTGAGACTTTAACAGGAGGTCTCGTTGGGTTGGGAACACTAAGTTGATATGGCGGGTTTTGCCATTCGGTTCGTTGTCCCGGGAAAGCCAAACCAGGAGATTTGTTTGGGCTTGAAAAAGTAGGAACCCCTTGATGTGGGGGTGAATAAAAAGGTGGTGGTGTGATTTCAGGTTCAACAGGAGGTCTCGCTGTGTTGGGAACAATAGGTTGATATCTCGGGTATTGCGGTGAGGTTCGTTGTCCCGGGAAATCCAAACCAGGAGATCTGTTTGGGCTTGAAAAAGTAGGAACCCCTTGATGTGCGTGTAAATTAAAAGGTGGTGGTGTGTTTTCAGGTGCGGTTACTGGTTCGGGTTCGTTACCGTTCGAATTATTGAAAGTCTCATCGACAATCCATTTTCGAAATTTTGCTACATTGGTATAAACCGCCGGGACGTCCTGCATTCCGCACTTAACGCCAAAGTTTACAATGCCGGCCAGCTCAAACCTTTGGGGATTTTCTCGCAGGGGACAAGCCAGCGGAGAGCCACCATCGCCCTTGCAAGAGTCCTTTCCACGCTCCCCGCCTGCGCACAAGAGGCTGTTGTCGAGCTGGAATTCGTTTCCGTAGAACCGACGAAGTTGATACTCGCACTCATTGTTCTTGACTATTGGTAAGTCCACCTTCTTCAAGACGTTCATGTATGAGTAGTCGTCAAAGGACTTCTTACCCCAGCCACTGAAGATACAGCGCGAGTAATCGAAGTTCCTATTATCCGGCGGCAGGCAGATTGGCTTAATGTGTTGGGTAAATTTTAGCGGAGTCCGAAGGAACAAGAGAGCCACGTTATTGGCCCCGTTCCTTTTGTCGAAGCCAGGATGACGAACGATCGACCGGATTCTAGCATCAACATGTGGAAATTGCTCGGAGTTGGTTTTTAAGTCCCAATCGCCAGCGCGGACAATAAGCTGGTCTTCGGTTAGGTTGTCGAGTACGTGTTTGGCTGTGATGACCACCTCGGGAGAGATAATGGCGCCACCACCCAAGTAATTACCTATTGTATCGAGCAAGGCCACCATCCATGGAAACTCGAACTCCTGGGCAAAGCCATCCATGTTCGGCACTTCGAAGGATACGCCTCTGATGTTGGGTCGTCCGCATTCGGGATTAACCGTCTCTTCGACGTTTATATCCAACACGTCATTCTAAAAAGGCAGCCGATAGTTTGTATTATCTTTCACACAAAGATAACTTACAAGTCACTTACAAGTATATGTATATTTTGACAGCAAGATTCCGGGGCAGCGCACCCATTATTTCCAGTAGTAAAGGCTCGAAATTGTACTCCAACCTGGCACTTATGATGCGGCACGCACCTTCTCTCACTTGAGGGCCAACAATCCTGGCCCAGGACCTGATAGATGGCCAGGAGAAGGAACAGGATTGGAAGGATTCTGTGCAGACGCCGCATTCTTGTTTGCTGTGAAAAAGAAACTGCGGCCTCTCTCGAGAGATAGCCGCTATTTAAAGCATGGTTCTTGTGAACTTATAACCCGAGAAGAGACTTCGCATCGCAACTGATTAAAAAAAAACCCAGTGACTCTCTAGATTATTAAATGCGTTGTACGCATACATATATGATTTTAATGGGGCTTCAAAAAGTGAGCGTGCCAAATATATTGGTTGTTTACGAAATCCCGATTTTTCCATACAAATGCACATACATAGCATATTTGAACTGGCTGTTGATGCTTATCAAGAAATGTGCCGTTATATTAGAAACTTTGGGCAAAATATGTGCCAATAATATTTGTTTATATATGAGTTTTAATTATCAGTATGCTGGTTTTCGATTTTTCAACCATGTCAGAAAAAGATAGCCATCAAGATTTAAAATTTTTCAACAATATCTGAGATGAAAGGCCATCTCAATAAAACAAAATCGTTGCTCTAGCTAAAATATTAATGTTGACTTATTGACATCTGATTTTGCATATAATTTACTAATACTATTTAGTTAAATTAATTACTAACACAATCCGATTTGGCGGGGTAACACTTCATATCAGCAAATCTTTTAGAGCATACATAACACAATGTTGATTAAGACATTCAAGCAATAGTAGCCGACATAAATTCTAAACCAAATAAGTTATACTCATCAACACAAAAAAAAAACTAAGGAGAATCGCTTACCAATTAAAAATGAAATAAATGATAAAGCGTTATCTGTCGATATGCAAGGATTTGCGGTGCGTAAGAAAACCTTAAAAAAACATCATGCTAAATCCGAAATCACTAGTAGTTTACGAGTAACGTGTATAAAAAGAGTACAAAAAGTAAGATTCATTAAAAAAATGCTTTCTGAACAACTTGCAAATACAAATAATTTGTATTTTCTTTTTGTTTAGTCAAAAGCATTTATACACAAAATTAAAAACTTTTTTTCTGGCCGTAACTGTTATTTGAAAAATTGTTTTTGGATATAAAATAAATATGAATAAATGTTTGTAACCTTGTAAGTATTCAAACCTATTTATTTATTTATTTTTAAATGGTGAAAAGTGTTAGTGGTCTATCGAAGACAAAATCTAGCATAAATTGATAAGAGTTTAACGTTTATCTAAAAAATAGCATTCAAAATAATACAAACAATTTTTGAACACATATATATGTGTATAAATTGATAAAAGTTTAACGTTTATCTAAAAAATTGCATTCAAAATAATACAAACAATTTTTGAACACATATATATGTATATATATATATATATATGTATATCTGTATATATTATCAGTACTGGGGAGATGCCCTCTTCATAATCGCCATATAAAGTTTCAAGCAGATAACTCGAAAACAGAGGGACTAGTTTGTGTAGAAACGGACGGACGGACGAACTTGGCGAGACCGACTCTTCAGGTTATGCTGATCATGAATATATATACTTTCTGGGGTCGAAAATGTCTCAACCACTGCGTTGAAAACTTTGATTAAAATTATAATACCCTCTGCGAGGATATAAAAACTAAGAAGAAAAGATATCGAGAAATACGAGTTCAAAATGATTAGTAATGAAAGAAATGATTAATGTTAGTGTAATATAGCACCATTTCTTAAATGTAGGCCGCTGCAAATAAAAGAATGGAATGCTGGTGAAACTTTATTATTATTTATTATTATTTATTCAATTTAACTCTAAGTCGAAGCTGCGCTCAGTTGAAAATACAGCTGAAAAATCGTCATCGGTGTTGCCATTTCCGTTCTCATATTTCGGTTTCTGAGTGCTGGTCCTTGGTGGGGGTCTACTGTTCCTTTCAGTACTTTGCTGTTCATCTGCATTCCAGCCAAAATCTGCGACTTGAACAGGAGGTCTCGTTGAGTGGGGAACACTAGGTGGATATCTCGGGTATTGCGGTGAGGTTCGTTGTCCCGGGAAAGCCAAACCAGGAGATCTGTTTGTGTTTGAAGAAGCAGGAACCCCTGAATAAATAGATGGTGGTGTATTTTGCTGTTCATTTGCAACCCAGCCAAAATCTGCGACTTGAACAGGAGGTCTGTTGGGAACACTAGGTGGATATCTCGGGTTTTGCGTTAAGGTTGGTTGTCCCGGGAAAGCCAAACCAGGAGATCTGTTTGTGTTTGAAGAAGCAGGAACCCCTGAATAAATAGGTGGTGGTGTATTTTGCTGTTCATTTGCAACCCAGCCAAAATCTGTGGCTTGAACAGGTCTGTTTCGGTTTGAATTAGTAGAAGGAAAAGGTGGTGGTATGTTTTCAGGTTCACTTTCTGGTTCGGGTTCGTCCCCTTTAACATTTTTGCTAGTCTCATCGATAATCCAATTACGAAATTTTTCCACATTGGTATAAACCGCCGGGACGTCCTGCATTCCGCACTCAACGCCAAAGTTTACAATGCCGGCCAGCTCATACCTTTGGGGATTTTCTCGCAGGGGACAAGCCAGCGGAGAGCCACCATCGCCCTTGCAAGAGTCCTTTCCAAGCTCCCCGCCTGCGCACAAGAGGCTGTTGTCGAGCTGGAATGTGTTTCCGTAGAATTGACGAAGTTTATACTCGCACACATTGTTCCTGACAATTGGTAACTCCACCTTCTTCAAGACGTTCATGTATGAGTAGTCGTTAAAGGACTTCTTACCCCAGCCACTGAAGATGCAGCGCGAGTAATCGAAGTTCCTATTATCCGGCGGCAGGCAGATTGGCTTAATGTGTTGGGTAAATTTTAGCGGAGTCCGAAGGAACAAGAGAGCCACGTTATTGGCCCCGTTGTTTTTGTTGAAGCCAGGATGACGAACGATCGACCGGATTCCAGCATCAACATGTGGAAATTGCTCGGAGTTGGTTTTTAAGTCCCATTCGCCAGCGCGAACAATAAGCTGGTCTTCGGTTAGGTTGTCGAGTACGTGTTTGGCTGTGATGACCAGCTCGGGAGAGATAATGGCGCCACCACCCAAGTAATTACCTCTTGTATCGAGCAAGGCCACCATCCATGGAAACTCGAACTCCTGGGCAAAGCCATCCATGTTCGGCACTTCGAAGGATACGCCTCTGATGTTGGGTCGTCCGCATTCGGGATTAACCGTCTCTTCGACGTTTATATCCAACACGTCATTCTAAAAAGGCAGCCGATAGTTTGTATTATCTTTCACATACCGAAACAAAGTCACTTACAAGTATATGTATATTTTGACAGCAAGTTTCCGGGGCAGGGCACCCATTATTTCCAGTAGTAAAGGCTCGAAATTGTACTCCAACCTGGCACTTATGATGCGGCACGCACCTTTTTTCACTTGAGGGCCAACAATCCTGGCCCAGGACCTGATAGATAGCCAGGAGAAGGAACAGGATTGGAAGGATTCTGTGCTGGCGACGCATTCTTGTTTGCTGTGAAAAAGAAACTGCGGCCTCTCTCGAGAGATAGCCGCTATTTAAAGCATGGTTCTTGTGAACTTATAACCCGAGAAGAGACTTCGCATCGCAACTGATTTAAAAAAAAACCCAGTGACTCTCTAGATTATTAAATGCGTTGTACACATACATATATGATTTTAATGGGGCTTCAAAAAGTGAGCGTGCCAAATTTATTGGTTGTTTACGAAATCCCAATTTTTCCATACAAATGGACTTAGCGGTTTGGGCTGGCTGTTGATGCTTATCAAGAAAAGTGCCGTTAAAGTGGAAAAATATGTGCCAATAGTATATGAGTTTTAATCATCAGTATGTTAGTTTTCGATTTTTCAACCATATCAGAAAACGATTGCCGTCAAGATTTTCGATTTTTCAACAATATCGGAGATAAAAGGCCATCTCAATAAAACAAAATCATTGATCTTGTTAAAATATTAATTTATTGACATATGACTAATATCTAGTATAAAACCCCATCGATTTATTTATGATTTTTCCTCAATGGCATTCAAAATTAATATGAAAGAATTTTGTGGAGCAACATCGTCGCCATAGTTAAAATAGTATTATTGATTCATACAAACCTTAAAACGGAAATAGCTAAGACGAACTGTATATATAGAAGTATTACATACATACACGCTGCATTTGTTTTGCACTTTAAATTCTGTCTTTATCTCCTTTTTATGAACTGTGAACTCAAGTTTCCGAGACTCGTAAAATCAATACGTTCTTTTGTTAAATTAATAGGGGGTATTTCCAATGGGATAACATTTTTGACTTATTAAAATGTGACCATTATCTTAGCATATGGGTTTTTGTTTAATTAAAAGTAGCAATCAAAATATATGTTTAAGGAATGTTGATGTTTAGCGAATTCGTTGTTCTAGTTAAAATATTATTGTTGATTTATTGACATCTGACTTGGATCTCGTTTTTGGTTTAAAGAATAGGGAATATTTTCATGCCTTCAAAATACAAATTAAAATAAAATTCAACAATTAACAAATGATTAAAAAATAGTAATTTAAAGAGCCTATTAGTCGTAATGTTGTTGTTTCTGTCATTCTTTATTCGATGTCAGGCCATTTGCAGGAAAGTTTTTCCCTGAGCAAACTCCTCAAATGGCAAGTTGTGTTATATGCCCTACTTTATTAACTTCTCGCATCCATTTAATTTAATTATGGAATTGTTTACAACTTTCTGCGAGTTCTTCGAACATACAAACACAATGAAGCCAACATGATACGAATTATCAATTATATATTTTAATGGGCGGGCTTTACCTTCACCCAGTAGTCGACGTGACAATACATGGGTGACAATACATGGGTATACATGAATAATTTTTTTTGATTTTCGCAAAATATCGATTACAATTTCTATTATGTCCCCCTTTTTGTTTTGGTTTGCTTGGTCCTTACAAACGTTTTCTTTTGGACAGCAAATTACACAAATTACTAAATTTTCCCTGCCTCTCATTAGCCGAAAACCCTTAACGAAAAACGCATTAGAATCGACCAGAATGAAAAGCATACCTAAAATGCTAACGGCGAATAATATTTTGAATAATATATATATTGAATGAATAATAATTATAATAATTTAATTAATGAATTTTCAAATCCCTACCCACACTAAAAAAAAATTAGTAAAGGTATCCTTATGGTTGCCTAGTCTTATTATACCCTTGCAGAGGGTATTATAATTTTGGTCAAAAGTGTGCAACGCAGTGAAGGAGACATCTCCGACCCTATAAAGTATATATATTCTTGATCAGGATCACCTCCTGAGTTGATATAAGCATGTCCGTCTGTCCGTCTGTCTGTCTGTCTGTCCGTCTGTCTGTTCGTCTGTTTTTTTCTACGCAAACTAGTCTCTCCGTTTTAAAGATATCAAATTGAAACTTTTCCACACACCCTTCTTTCCTTTGCACGCAGTATATATGTCGGAACGGCCTGGATCGGCCGACTATATCCTATAGCTGCCATATAACTGATTGATCGGAAATGCCATAACTTTGGTGTTTGTAAAGTTAGGAAGTTAGGATTTTTTATGAGTATTAAGAATGCATCATATGAATAATAATATTATAATATAATATAATAATATAATTTATAGAATATTCTGCAAGGGTATTTACACTTCGGATCCGCTAGAAATTGGCTTTCCTTTCTTGTTTACTAATACCATTTAGTTACATTATTTACTAACACAATCAGATTTGGCGGGGTAACACTTCATATCAGCAAATCTTTTAGAGCATACATAACACAATGTTGATTAAGACATTCAAGCAATAGTAGCCGACATAAATTCAAAACCAAATAAGTTATACTCACCAACACAAAAAAAAACTAAGGAGAATCGCTTACCAATTAAAAATTTAATAAATGATAAAGAGTTATCTGTCGTAAGAAAACCTAAAAAAACATATTGCTAAATCCGAAATCACTAGTAGTTTGCGAGAACTCGACGTTCATACGGACGGACAGAAAATTAAAATGCTTTTTGAACAGCTTGCAAATACAAATAATTTGTATTTTCTTTTTGTTTGAAGCATTTTGGACGAAAAAATAGTCAAAAGCATTTATACACAAAATTAAACACTTGTTTCTGGCCGTAACGGTTATTTGAAAAATTGTTTTTGGATATAAAATAAATATGAACAAATGTTTTTAACCTTGTTATTATTCAAACTTGTTTGTTTTTTTATTTTTTATTAAGTGGTGAATAATGTTAGTGGTCTATCGAAGACAAAATCCAGCATAAATAGATAAAAGTTTAATGCTTATCTAAAAAATTGCTTTTAAAATAATAAAAACAATTTTTGAACTTAACTTTTAACTTTTATGCCTGCACCTTTTAAAAAGTCTCATTTTGTAATAATGCATGATATAAATTAGGTTTAATTTTTCACCTTAGAGTTAGAGTTCTTTTTCTAAATTTAAATCTTTTCCACAATCAATAGAGGCAATTTATTAAGTGGAAAATCTCAGAAAGCATATGTCCAATGGCGCCAGCAAAATTCCAAATATATGTGTATATATACATATATATATATATATATATTATCAGTACTGGGGCGATGCCCACTTCATAATCGCCATATAATGATACCGGTTTTATGGCACTCTTAGTTTAAAGCTGACTGACAAGCTTGGTTAGCCAGAGCCGTCGCTGAGAGGGTGAGAATGAAAATCTTTTACGCCATAGTATTGGCATTAAAATAAAAAGAAAATGTTTCTGTGAGCCTGTGATTTCACTTGACATGATAATGAGACGAACCAGTCAGTAAACAACGAGTTTTGAAATGGGAGAGCTTTGCGATTCCATAAATTGTTGACCTGTTTCTCGCCTGGTAATTGATACCTGCGTATTACGCTGCATTTGTTGATTGTGGGAATCTCCCGATTTGATTATTCCCGCATATAATCTCGTTGTAAAGTAGAATTGGTCGGGCAGTATATCTCCGCTGATTGCAACGAACACTTCGATTGGAAATGGAATCGCACACCTTTGTCTTACTGCTACTAATTGGCTGCCTGATTGTTGGCTGTTGTGTGGCGGCTCCTCAGGGATGTAATGGCGGCTTCTACGCCCAAAACGGCAATCTGGTGCTCGATCTAAAAGATATACAAGGCCTGCTTAACTGTGTTAACAGGCAGCATCAACAACACGGCTAATCTTAAACTAAGTTCTATTCCAATTCAGTGTATAATGCAAAAACCCCGAAAAATGCCTAATAAAATCATCTAAACCAAACATACTAGACAGTAACTGAAATTGGTTACAGTATACAGCAAAAAATGCAGGTGGAGTGGTCATCGCAAGCGCGTGATGTATAAACAACAGTGCGTATGTGAGATTTTATTAACCCGCACATGTTGGGATATAAAATAAAAAAAGTAGAAATAATAACTCGTTTCATTGTTTACCATTTATTAAAAATATACTGTTCCCCTCAGTTCGTTGACTCTGCCAATCTCATCTTGGAGAATACGAAGTAAATATTGATTAAATTGCATTTACGTGATTTTTATAAAAGCAATATCAGTGACGTCGCAATAATAAGTTACACCGAAAACAATTTATATTTGTTTTGAAGGCTGTTTTTTCTCTGAAATTAATGTAAATTAGTGTCGCGTTGTGTTCAAAATCGTTGTATTTGGAATAGTTCAGTGTAGGTGCCTACTTAAATTAAAATAAAAATGTTAGGACTTCAATAGATAAAGTAATATACTTTTCAGATATCTGAAAGAAGTTTATTTTGACTGAAAGGTTCTTACCTTACCTATCTTACCTATAAGATTTTTCAGAAAACCAAACCTAACAAGAATATCTTTTACTTGAACCATTTTTTTCGAAATTCATTTTGAATAATTTTTTAAAGAAGGTATTTATTTTCTTAACATTTTTAATTAATGTAAACGGGAACAATCAAATGGATTTTCGGACATGATAACGACCCTAGACGCATATCAAAATAACCACAAATTGTGTACTTATAAAACGGATTCTGGTCGGAAACGGCGAACTAAGTGTTAAGGTATTTGGCGGCCCGCTAGCTTCATTCGCCTGCCGTCGACAATTTGCGCTCATGTCGAACATGAAAAATAATGAAAAGCAACTCGAGCGCGTCCAGACGAACACCTGCCAGCCCCTGCCCTTTCACCTTTCACCTTTCGACTTCCACCCCCATCAATGTCATACTCAGACCTACATATATGTGCACTCTCTATCTGTCCCCGTCTGCGGCTCGCCCCTTCTCTGTCGCACTCTTTTATGTACCAGTGGCCTTGCATCACTCGGTTGGGCACCTGCAGTTGCCCTTTGTTTGGTGCGGCATTAAAATGCTAATTGCCTGTAAACATAAAGGCAACTGCAGATGCCACAAATACGCACACATGCACGCATCTCATTTTCCACTTTGTTCGGAGGCGTATGCGTAATAATTTGCACACCGCCCTTCGATGGCAAATGTAGCAAACAACGTGTGGCAATCGCCGCTGCTAATTCGATTTCTATCAACGCCTGTCAATGCCGTTTTAACTGAGCTGTTGCCACTTCAAACCTGAAACCTTTAAGGACTCCCGTCCTGCACTCCCACTAATCGTGTCCTGTTGGTGACAGCATTTATTTGCATTCGTTTGCAAGCTAAAATTGACTTTAAAATTGCATTTAATGGCGGAAAAAAAAACGGAGCCACGCCCCCATGCACTCGCCGTCATTTATTTCGCACTAGTGCTGACAGTTTTCCCTCTTCTCTTGTGTCCTTTTGTTATACAATTCTCCCCTTTAAATTTTCTTCAATTTTATTTAAAAATTTCTACAAATCCTGGTTTGAATTAAAAAAAAACATATTAATAAAATTTATTTTAAAGGTAAATGGAACAATTTGTTGATAAATTGTTTTAATATTTAACCAACACCAATACTTTGATTTTTAATAAAGACATCTTTACTAATCATTTTCTTCGAATTTCATAAGGTTTCTAAACCATAAACTCGTTAGTAGAGAACAACAAATTTTAATGATGCAAATATATTTTGTACTTCAAAAGTCTCATTTTCATTTGGTTCTCAATAATTTTGAAGTTAGGTACTAAACAAAATCCTAATACAATTTAATGGATAGATCTGCTTTTATCACTTTTTCTAGCCAAATTGTCATTATTTTTAATACTTAGTTGGCAGCACTGTTTTACACAGTGTCTCTGCTCGGTTCGTTTTTCTTCTGGCCCACCACCCCACCGCCCCACCTACCCACTCCCATATCCTGTGCGCTGTTGACTCCTTTCCCATAATGCCACTTGCACTTTGACGTTGACATTGTGCAAGCGAGAGGGCAGAGGCAGCTAGAGCGAGAGAGAGCGATGGGGGCCAGATGGATGGCTAGATGGAGGACAAGAGTGTGTATGTATTGAGTATATTGGAAAGCTGTTCGGGTGTTTTAAATAGAAACATGCAGCAACGCGGCAAAAAATGTCTTCACACTAAAAGCATTTGCCTTCCACTAAAAAAGACGACAGAATAGAATCTTTAGAATGCTAGCACACAAATTTGTTGACACTTACTCTACGTTGTAATTTGAGTTGCTACAGATTTACTGATCTTGACATTAAATAGTTACGACCCTAATTCTAAAAAATCGGATTAAGCTTGCCTACATAATTTAAGATATAACTTAAAGTAAAAATTAACTACAAATGTTTTCATTGTTAAATTTCAGAGAATGTTATATTTAATATTAATTTAAATTCTGATTCTCGTCAATTACTCAGTTTTTTATAATAATAAGACCTCTTAGGTCGTGTATTGTACATTTGCTTAAATGGATTTTACACATTTTTATGACGCTTTCTAGACAATAACATAAATTGTTTTATTTCCACATCTCATTGTTTAACTTATTTCAAACTTAGTTGTGCAGTTGAATTAAATATTGCTTAATACAAACTTTACAGTTTGAGCTTAGCAACAACATTATGGATTCTAGTGCAGAAGACAAGAGCCAACCACATTGCAAAGTTACACTTTGACTGGGGGAAAAAGTGTTTATAAGTCCCAAAGCAGACCGCATCAAATGCCAGTGTGAATGTGTCGTCGGAACACAGTCAGCCATTCACACTTGTGGCTAAAAATACCCAACAGATTTGGCCAGGACAGACAGACTAAAGCAAAACCGAGTGGACTTGTAGAGGACAGGTACCAGAACAGGTGCCACCCACTTGATGTCAGTCTGTTTGCCGCTGGGATACTCATACTAATCAGAGGCTTTCATACAAATGACCTCCAACCACCCCCCTTGTCAAATATTTAGCTGAACTCATATTAAAACGTAATATAAATTTCTTTTTCGGCTGCACAACTTATTGCTCCAACATTTGGCACGTCCATTCAAATGGCAAATATATTGGGCGACTTGCAAAAAAAAAAAAAATAGCTGAAAAAGAATGCTGGGAAAAGAAAAGTCTTTGGGCGGACAGAAGTCGTAGCTTAAACACACATCTTGCATTATCCAGTGAGGGATGAGGAAAAGGGGGGATGGAAAATCAGTCGGCTGGCTCTGACTTTTCACTTGGCAAATGGTCAACGGGGGTTCGTTTTTTCCCAGTCTTTCTCTTTGTTTTTTTTTTCCACAGCACACTTTCAGGCTGTTGCTCCAGCCAACGCCCAGAGTCCTTATCCTTCTTGCGAACAAATTGCGTGCAAGTAGCTGCATTTTGCTAATTCCGGCAAAACCCAGACACTGCACCGCTGACATTTGAGCAGGTCTCCTCAGTCTCAGTCGCAGTCGCAGTCTCGGTCTTCTAGACTCCGTTCCAGTCCCACACCCAGTCATCGTTGGCGTTGTCATTGTTGGCTTTTGAATGTTAAGATGTCGACAGCTGCACAGACGACCGACAGGGAAGCCAGCTGGTGTCAACTGAGAATTGTGTGTGCGAGAGGGCATTGCTCAGGGTCGGGTCTCCAAGCCAAAGCTGAAGCCCCAACCCATTGAACCACCCAACCATGCAACCCTTTCTGCCTCGCAGACACCTTTTTTTTTTTTTTTTGCACCCCCCTTCTTGTGCATTTATTTTCTGTCGCGATGCCTCGACCTTTCCATAAGTGCATAATATTGTAGCAAAAAATGTACAACAAATATTTCATAATACACGGCCATGTTTTTTGTCTGTCGTTCTTTTCCATGTTCCATCCCGAGTTGTCTTAGACAAAGCGACTACGCATGTTGGCAATTATTTACATGGATATGACTTTGTTGCTCTGTGCAAAAAAATGGGGGTTCAGATGTATAGTATCCAACAGGGTGTTCTTCTTGATGTAACGATTTCTTGGTACATACTTGTAAAGGAATATATAGTTAAATTATGTTCCAGAAGAACCTTAGACCACTACCCAATTTCAAAGCAGTTAATGTCATATTTAACACTAACCAAAATGGTAATTAAAAATTCATTAGCAAGAAGCTATAAAATTAAAGGATTCTCTTTGTTAAAATCTGTAAGTTATTTTAACTGCAATGCAACTCATCTTGTAAGTCAATCCTTGAATAAATTTGAATTAAAAATATTATCTTATAACATTTAAAAGAAGGTAAATAGTGAGGAAAGCGGTTGCAGCTCCAATGGAGTTGACCAAATTGAATACTTTGAAGAAACTTTAGCTAATTTTACTTGCCTTTGGGCAAAGAAGTTTCAGATGCTGCCAACCAAAGACTCGAAATCCGATAAAAACTTCCTTGCAGTTTTCTCTTAGTTACCAGTCGCTCACTTACCCCCAGTGTGCTCCTTTCTATTGACTCACTTTCGGCAGTGTTTATTATTTAATGCCTTAACTAGCTCGCCACTCAACACCTTTTTCTGGGCAAACTTTAAGATTCCTTAGCTAATTCGAGCTCTCGGAAAATGTGCAAATAACTTTGAGAGTTGGCAGATGGAAGGTGGCCCACCTGGAAAGAGGTTTTCAGTGCAACAACTTTCTTTCCCACACCCCATCTGGCATTCTTTCCCCAAAAAACTCCCCCTGCCATTTGTCTAAGCCGCTGACACATTCCCGTGGCACCAGCGTTTGCCCAACGGCAGCCAATTTACATTGAAATCTTCTTCAGACCCGTACTGGGTCTATATGCCCCAGAGAACCGAAGCTCAAGCATTTTTATTCTATTTTCCTGCTCTGCGTTCCCATTGTGCAAAAGTAGTTGAACTATTTCAATGCACCCACATGCAGCTTAGCTCGGCAGCCACTGCAGCATCTTCAGGTGCACTGAAGTTCGCCCAGGGGGTGTGTGTGTGGTATGGGTGTTGGTATTGGTGTGGGTGCTGGCGTGGGCGTGGCACATCTCCAGTGTCTATGACTGCAGGTGTTTGTCCTCCTTCGGAGGAAGGACCTGCCCCTGGGGGTCTAATTTCGCTGCAGCTAAAGTTCTTGTTTGCGTCTTATGAAAATGCATACTGTGGGCTTGGAACTAAACTTGTGAAGATAATTTGTGCGCCAACTTGCAAAATCCTCCACAGCATCCCAGTGATTTGTAAAATTCCGTTCTGGGTCGTAAATTGGAATGCAATGGAAGCTGTTAAAAACACCCATACACTTGGCCATAATGACAATCACGTTTTTCATCCTTAAACTGAGATTAATTGGGCAAATTACATAACTGCAAAAATGTTTAAATATTTTAGTGGTAAGAAAACTAATATCTAAAGTATAAAGATACTGATAAAGAACTTTTTTTAAATATTATTTTAGTCTTTTTAGTTTATGTTTGAAAATTACAAAAATTGCAAAATATTTGTATAATTATTTTTTGTTATTAGTTTTTTCAATTACAATGATAGCGAATCAATTTTTTTAACCCAATTGTAGAAATACAGGGAATTTTAAATTGAGCACATACATTTAAATAAACCTGTATTTATCTGAGTTTTTATCGATCCTAAGAGTATTCAATAATAATAAACAACAAGAGTTTCTTTTTTTTTTTTTTTTTTTTTAAATAATACTTTATTCACTGGAATCTGTTCAGTGCCTTCTGAACTTAACCTAGCGTAATTAACGAGAAAGAAATTTTATGCATACATAGTAGCCTTAATACAAGAGTTTCTAAAACTGTCCGATAAGTGTGGCATACTTTTCGGCTACATTTCGAGCACTGTGCAGGGCGATATTACCGCGCAGATATATCTCTGCGCTTTGAATTATACTCCACATACACACGCCCAAGTCGAACTAAAAGTTTGCTAAAAGAAGGCAAAATGAAGCAAAGCAAACTCCAGTGCTTTGTGCAATTTAAGTCGCAGCGAAGAGAATAAATTGCATAAAGCGCGGAAACTTTGCAACCCTCCCCAGAACCCCACCCATTCCCCCAGAGAAATACTTAAGCAGATTGATGGCAGTGAGTGAAACCAACAACTTCTATTCCAGCGTTTGATGGACTCCGCGGAGCAGGCGGCCCTGTCAGAGCTGGAGGGGCAGGGTCAGGGGGAGTCGCCGATGGGTGGACAGCAGCACTACGATGCCCGGCGAATCAACGAGTATAATGCCGATGGAAAGCTGGCGGACGGAGCCCGCCACATGGACATCCGGTTCATGCGGCGTTTCGAGCGCCTGCCGGTCAATCTCAGTCTAAGCTCGATTCTGGTGCCGCACGGCGTCGACTTGGATGAGGCGGACGTAAAGTCGGCGCTGCAGTGGAGCGCCCACTTGGACCCGCTGTTCCAGAACAACTTAGAGCAAGATCCGGCCTTGTCCTGGCAATACTTTGGCTCCTCCACAGGCTTCCTGCGCCGCTTCCCGGGCACCGCCTGGCCCCCGGAGGGCTCCAAGGGCAGCAAGCTCATCCACGACTTCCGTGCCCACAATTGGTTCGTCCAGGCCGCCTCATCGCCCAAGGATATTGTGAGTATCTATTGTAAATAATAGTAAGGATAGTAATATCCTAAAGCCATTATTATTTCGAAAACTATTTACTTTTAGTTACATTTTCAGATTGCCCACAATTTAATTTATGTTTGCTTTGGTTAAAAAAATGGATGATAAAATTCTAGAAAATATTAATGTTATGCCTTGCATGCCTAAGATATTGATAAATTATTAGACTATTAAAAATATCAATTAAATAATTTTAGTACACCAAAAAAAAAGTATCATTATCGGATTATAATTTTATATTATTTCGTTTTTTTCTAGCCGTATTGATTTCGTTGTAGAAGAAATTTAAGTTGTATGTTAAAAATCACACTGTAATCTTTATTCATTGTAAATATCAGCCACAGGTAATAAACATAAATATATGTTCTTAGAATCAATCCGTATACACAGTTTAGTGAATTGCCTTTATGTCTTTTCCCAATCAGATGATTCTTCTGGATGCATCGTCGAGCATGACGGAAAAGTCTTTTGACCTGGGCATGGCCACCGCCTTCAACATAATGGACACCTTGGGTGAAGATGACTTCGTGAACCTCATCACCTTTTCGGAGGTGGTGAAAACACCAGTGCCGTGCTTCAAGGACCGCATGGTTCGAGCCACGCCCGACAATATCCAGGAGATAAAGTCCGCTGTGAAGGCGATAAAGCTGCAGGATACGGCTAATTTTACGGCAGGTCTGGAGTATGCCTTTAGTTTGCTGCACAAGGTAAGGCATTCAGACCAAAATAAGGAAGGGAAAACTAAGCAATTCCTCTCATTTCAGTACAATCAATCAGGGGCTGGGAGTCAGTGCAACCAGGCCATCATGCTGATCACGGAGAGCACCTCGGAGTCGCACAAGGATGTGATCAAGCAGTACAACTGGCCACACATGCCCGTCCGGATTTTCACCTACCTGATTGGCAGCGATTCCGGCAGCCGGAGCAATCTGCACGACATGGCCTGCTCGAACAAGGGATTCTTCGTCCAGATCAACGACTACGATGAGGCCCGCCGCAAGGTGATCGACTATGCCCTGGTGATGGCCCGTCCCATGATCATGTACCAGGCGGATCATCCGGTGCACTGGAGCCCGGTATTTGTGGCCGGGAAGTCGGGTGGACTGGGACGCGACTCGGAGTACCAGCGACGCTTGGTGACGACAGTTTCAACTCCGGTCTTCGATAGACGAAACCATTCGGTGCGCGTTGCCAATCTGCTGGGCGTGGTGGGCACCGATGTGCCCATCGAGGAGATCCGCAAGGTGATCCCCCAACACAAGCTGGGACCGAATGGCTATTCGTTTATCGTGGATAACAACGGACGGGTGCTCTACCATCCGGATCTGCGGCCCCTGGGTGATGGCAACCAGTATATCGACCAGCTGAAGCCAAAGTACGCATCGGTCGACATCACGGAGTTGGAACTGCCGGAAACGGAGATTGGCAATAACAACGAACTCATTGAAATAAACAAGAATCTTCTGAACGAGGTGGGTGTTCTGATATATAAATATATATTTAATATTGCAACATTCTATTAATAGTAGCTTTTTGTCACAATTAAAAATTTAGATTTTTATTATTTTCGAACCTTAATACAAGTAAACAACTGTTCTGAAAAGAGTAACTTTAAGCGGCGTCATATTAATTTTTTATTTTTAGCTTTCGGACTTAAAAATATTTCAGCTTGTGAAAACTGTGTTAACTAATCAAATTTAATATAATTATTATTTATAACTGTTATATATTTCTATTAACTTTCTCTTTTAAAAGATGCGAGGTGACATGATAAAACCGAAAGAGGGGGAAACGGAGTTTACAGTGATGAACCACTACGATGACTCCAAAAGGGTATCCACCAGGACGCATCGCTACTTCTACGGCCCCATCGAGGATACACCATTCACGCTGGCTATTGTGCTCCCGGAGAAATACGGTAGCCATGAGTTTGTCTCCCAGCAGGAGATTCGGCATTCGCGTAACAATGGTGAGTTTTTCTAAAAGTTACCAGTGTCCACGAATTGAATACCATTGTTTTTGCAGTTACCGAGTACTTTAAGGGGGACAACTGGCGCGTACATCCCGACTGGGTGTATTGCGAGTACAATAGCGTCAGTGATCTGGAGAAGGAACGGGAGAGCTCCGGCGAGTACTCCTCGCGCGATCAGGAGCCCAGCTTCGGGTCGCCGGAGGAGCAGGTATTGCACTTTCTGTCTCGCGCCGGACGCCCTGGTTGGAAGTGGATGTCGGTAAGCAATCTGACTTGAGAAACGCATCCCTCCGTGGGTTAACCCATCCATACAGCTTGGTAATCTCGGCTTATATCTTCCTGCATCAGGTTCGACCCAAGTCGCCGCAACCACATCACAACATGCACAGTGGCTCCAACGGCAATGCGCCCGGATCGAGCCACTTTGGATCGCAGCACTCAAACTCTCAGGGATCTCGCAAGGCTGAGCCGTACTTCTGCGATCGAACCCTCATCCAGAGCTTGGTGCGCGATGCCATGGTAACCGATGGACTGGACAGGAATACGACTGGATCCTCCAGCGGCAAAGAGGATAAGCAGTAAGTTTGGATAGCTATCGTCCGAAACATTTTATAATTTTTTGTTAATTTAGTTTATTTTCAAATGTTTTGAAAAACAAGCCACATAAAGCTTAGAATTTTCATTTTAATTTAAAATAGTTTTTTTAGTTATGAATATTTGTTTCTTAAAATTATAGTGTATATTTTAGTATTTTATGAAAACTGTTATTAGTTTTTTAGTTATAAATTTTACTAAAGCACAAAAACCATTTTCTCTCCGCATATACTTTCCTCACTCTATTTCTTTGACGGATAATACTTTTTCCTTTTTTGCTAAAACTCTGCACTTTTCACCTGAATAACCATAATGCAAAAATATTTTTTCCCTCTGCAAATAATTTAAATATAATTATTTGAACATATGCAATTTTTAACTGATATGCACCAATTTTATGTGAATAATTTCTATAGTCCAATCGCCACATTGATGGCAATTCTTAAGAGGTAAATCGAAGAGTAATTTGATTGAAATTGGAGTAGAATTGACAAATGCCACCGCTTTAGAGGACCAGCCACACGGAGAGGCTTGAACGAACATCCCCTAGAAATATCATGCGCTGGCCCCAAATTACCAAAAACTTTCAAATTCCAGAAATCTAAATCATCTGTATTTTTTATTCATAGGCAAGGCTATCAAAAGTTTGTGGTTGCCACTTCGTTTGTGGCCACGAGATCGGGACTTCTCCGGTGGATTGATCATGTCAAGCGACCCGACGATACACCAGAACCGTGAGTTTTTAATAATAATAACTTTTAGAATTTTCCCAACTATTTTTTGTACTTTTTTATGTAACAGACACTTTAGCGAAGACAATGTTAGAGCCATGGATACTTCCTGGTACAAACGAGCCATAGATCAGCACTCCGTGGAACCGGACAGTTTTGTGTATAGTGTACCCTTTGGTTCGGGCTATGCCATCAAATCGAATGCCACCCTGGTGACCGCCTCTCATGCCATATTTGTAGAGCATCGGGGTCACAAGGCACCAGCGGGGGTTGTGGGTCTCCAGTTCCAGCACGATTCCCTAGCGAAACATTTTATTAACATCACCTCAGCCGTAAGTGAAATCCCAGTTAATGTTAATTATATTATAATTATTTTTTTTCAAAAGATTTTATGTAAATGTATTTGACCGTAATTTTCTTTTTTAGTGCACTGGAATGACAGGCTGCAAGCGAACCTGCGCATCGGACAATCTCGACTGCTACGTTTTGGACAACAGCGGATTTGTGATAATTTCCGAAGAGATGGAGCACACAGGCAAGTTTTTCGGTCAGATCGATGGCACCATTATGGACTCCTTGGTCCAGGATCGGATCTACAAAAGGGTAACGGTCAACGACTACCAGGGTGTCTGCTCAGATGCCGACAATCCCTATACAGCTGCAGGTGGCATCTTGCAGCCAAATCGCTTGGGCTCGTGGTTCTTCAACCATCTTTTGGCCCTGAGTGCCACCTGGCTATCCTTTATGCCGGCTTCTTTGCGGGCCTGGCCACAGGAGGAGTATACTTACGACAATGAGGATGTGGTTTTTGTGGACAACAATTACTCGGAAGAATACGAGTTCGGAAATGAATACAACATGCAAGTGGATCAGGAAATGGATGAGTTCTTCACCACTGCTGATGTGGTAAGTGTGAAGTGAACATTTTGAAGTTTCTTTTATGTTGGGAAAGACTTAAATAAAAAGGTTTAAGTGTCTATACTTCAATATAAATTAACGTGTAGAAATTTTAATTATTATTTAAACCAATTAAAAGTTTAACATATTTTTAAAAAATATTTGAATAGTTCACTATTATTGGTAACATTAAAAAAGCATTTATTTTTACAGAAATATGTAATGAATGGGTATAAAATTTTAATCATGTTTTTTCCATTTCAGGAATATACAACACCACCGCCCAGGCAGCATAAGCCCCACGTGGGACCTCGATTTTCACCGGATCCACAGAATGCCAGACGATGCGATCTGCGCACTGATCTTTATATGCTTCAGCCGGAGCGACTTAATCAGGGTGGCCAGAATAATCCCCTCAAGGTGGGTGCCCGATTGGCATGCGGAAAACTGGGCAAACATTAAAGTCTCTTCTTTTTTTAGGGTAAACTAACCAACTGTCATGCATCTGGATGCGAGCGTCCTTTCAGCGTCCAGAAGATCCCGCACAGCAATCTGATCCTGTTAGTGGTGGACACCCTGTGTCCGTGTGGCTCCAAGCAACTGGACATCGAGCCTTTGGAGGAGGCGGGCGTAATTGGTGGGTATTGGTTGGATATATCTGGAGGAGCTATGATTAAATTCCCCTCTTTGTTTTGAATTTTAGGAGCCTGCAGTACGAGACGCCAGGGACAGGAGCAGGAGTCGCGTCGCCGACCCAAGAAATGCATCAACTATCATCCAGAGGAGATTGAGATACAGCAATGTGGGCGTGGCAGCACCCTGCTGCACATGTCCGGCTCGGTGATCGTGGCCCATCTCTTGATGGTGACCGTGACCTTTGTGCTGGCCAATGCGTGATATGAGCACTAAATGAGTTTTGAGAATTAGGTTTGCACTATTTTTGTGTCGAAAACAATAAGCAAAAGAGGACCCAGAGGGCTCTAAAATTTTCTTTTGAAGGGAAGAAGAAATACGCAGTTTGAGTTTGTTGATTTAAGCCGATTTGGGAGCTGCTAGTTAACCTCATGCCGCTACATGAAGTAAAAAGAAAAATTTAAATATTTGTTAGAAGATTCGCAAAACGTTATACAGATAATACTAACGAGTTTATATGCCTATGTTTGTAGACAATAATTTGCAGGAAAATATTTTAATTGACAATTAGTAAAAACTTTAGCTAAACATGAATTATGTATGTATGTGTGCAAAAAGAATAGCATTTAAAAGTAAATTATTTGCCAGGTATAAATACTTTATAGAGCGAGCTTTGTTTACCATTTATTGAAACTATTGATTTCCTCCTTAACATAAAATAAGGCACGCAAAAGTAAGAAGTCAGTGCAAAAATTATGAACTGAATGTAATATTGAAGGGAAAACAGTTATCATTCGAATTATGTAAATAGTATCAGAAAATATTTAAAATGAGCAAAATTCCTACCGATAAATAATTCGTTTTTTCCTGTTTTCTATCGTACAACTTTAACACTAAATAAACGGAGTTACTTTTGCACTCAACTGCGTACGCACAAATATCAAAAGTATTATATATTTTACAACCAAACAAAATCGAATTCACTGAACAAATGGAAGACTTGAAATACCCGACAGCAATGTAAAAACAACAAAAGCACACAAAAAAAAACAGAACAATGATATAGAAAGTTCATATCTTATATGTACATGGTTGACATCCAATTTTGAACAGAAACAAGAAAAACGAATACAAAGGAAAAACAAGTTAATTATTAAATATATATTTGATTAGTTTTGCAGAAAATGAATAAAAAAATAAAGTGGAAAAAGAATAATAATTTATTTTATATACATTTTTATACAAACCTCATTCATATAACAAGAAGCGGAAGGCGATACCAAAACGATCAACTAGGGTAATCGTTTCATTAATTTTTAGACTATAACCGAATGTTCTTTGTGTTTATTAATTATTATTAGTCCTACATAGAAATTTACATATCTATTGGATTTCTTTTCTAAACTAACAAACAAAACTATTTCAAATATAAAAAAAATACCCAAAACACTTACATATTAACACATACACTCAATCTCACTCACTCTAAACACACAAAAAAACACTTACATATACAAAATATAAAGAAAGAATATTTTCTGTGTCTTAAACTTGTATAAAAAATGTCTTCCATTAAAAATACTTAACGAAAAGGAAATCCAAGCAAAGTAAAACAATTTATAAATCAATAACTACTAATTAACTTAAACTAAAAAATACGATTATTTAAGGAAATATATATTAAAACATTTAACTCGAAAAGTCATTAACCAAGCATACACAATTTCAAAACTTTCCCTCTTCGTCGCCTGTTCAGCTTTAAGCTGAAAGTCGTCAGAGGAAATCAAAAAAAAAATATATAAAAAATTCGTACACCCATTAGAAGGTTAGATAATGTAGTTAGTTAGGGCTGGGTAATGAACAGCACCGGCAGGACGAAGAGCATGCAAAGGGAGGATCCATACAAGCATTAGAAGAAATATTAGCAGAATATTTAAAAAATAGTAAATATATGTAATAAACCTAATTTAACACACAACTTTAAACGAGTAATCAATTGTAAGTCGTACATTATAAGAGCTGTTTGTTAAACGATGACAATGTCGATGGATTGGACGATGTTGCAGTGCGAAAGTCGGACATCCGTGCGTATGCGTAATCTGAGCTGGAGTGTGTGCATGACTGGTTGGGTGTTTGTGTGTGTGCATGGCTGGGGACCTTGACTGACTTTAAGTGGCGTGGGTGGGAATGTGTGAGATAAGACAATGGAAATACCTGGTAGGCCACCGAAGGCAGAACACAATATACACACCGTACTGTTAAGATCGCTATCCAACATTTCCCCTCTATATCCCTCACTCTGTCGGCATCTTCGGCTACATTCTCACTCACTCCTGTTCTCCACAAATCCACTGTAAAATGGCATTCAATTCCTTCGCATGACTTCAACTCGAAAATATTAAACATATTTATGTATTCAACTTTTTTGCAAAACAACAACTCCATATCAATATAAAAAAAAATTGAAACAAAAATAAAACTTTACTGAAGTATATAATAATATAATAATGTTCTGCAAGATTTTCTATGTTTGTTTATTTTTATAAGGAAATCAAATGTTTGTATGTGTAGTCCATAATTTTCTAAAGGCATATGAATATATTGACAAAAAAACGAATGTAATGTTTATTGGTCTTAATGGAATGGAAAACAAAATGAAAAACCAATTAAATCTACCATTATTAACTTACGAATTAAATCAAATTTTTGACAATGCGATTTTTGCTTTTTGGAAATCGTGCTTTTTGCTAAAACAAAACCACAAAAAAAAGGAAAACAAAATGAACTATTATTAAATATGAACACACTTTTGCTCTCTATAAACCCTATATACAAGCATCTTTCTATATGGAACATTTATATAAAGCCATCCGAAACAAAACCAAAAAAATAAGTATATAGAACATGTAATAAAACGATCCCTTCAAGAACTCATCTCTCTCTTCACACATTTATTCAGCGAATAGAAGAAATCCCCAAAAGTTTATATTGCCTAATTTGCCGCTCTTTGTTTGGTTTTCTTAGTTTTTAATTGCCAAATCCAGAACTTAAACTGAGACCGAATTACCATAATAGAAAAAGTGAAAAGTAAGCATACATTCATGTAAAATTAAAACAGTTACCGACTAAATCGATATTTGGAACTGACGTCATTCTATCAAGTTAAACTCAAGTTAAATAAATTTTGTTATTGCTGTCGAACACAATTAAACAAAAACTAAAGTAAAACAACTTTTAAATTGTGAGAGAAATTGTTGTTTCATTGAATTTGTCATTATAAAATTTGAAATTATAAATGTTTAACACAAAACCAAAACAGTATGGAATACATATAAAATACGTACACATATGTAAGTCATATACCTTCTGTATATTCCACAGACCCGCAAAATGGATAAAAATTATCGAAATTGTTCGAGCAAGCTTCAAATTTGGATAAAAGAAAAAATTTCTTTCGTTCTACAAGAAAACACACACTTACATACGCTCACCTACTAACACACACCTACACCTATAGACAAAGCTTATGTTATTTTGTATGGAAAGTCTACAAAGAATTTCGAGAAATAGTTTAAAAGAAATGAAAACTATTAAAAATTAGTCAAAGTAAAAAAGACATTTGCGAAAAGCCTAACTGTTAAGAGAAAAAAAGTAAACCGCATACTTACATAAATTAATTATAAATTAATATAAACTTGCTCATTATTCTAATTACAAACTGGAAATTATAAGTAAATGGTATACATAAATAATATAATTAAAACCAAGTTAAGATTCAACATTAAACAGGAAGATGAACAACTAAAAATATTATAAATACATAATATGAACGAAGGAACAGAAAAAAGCATAAGAAAACAAAGAATGAAGAAATAAATGACAAAAGGTATTATAAAATAATTAACCTTGTTTTATTTATAAATGGCCGGGGGTGTATACATTTAATTTTCAGAATTTAAGTGGGGCTTTCTATTTCTTTAAATTTTCTATTTTTGCATTTTTACGAAATTTTGTTTAAGCGAATCGACATTCTAAAAGTCTAAGGATTCCTTTTAATCGGTATTTAATTTTTTACGATAAAAAAATTGAATAATTCTCGAGCCGTAACATCAAACGTTTTTTACGCATAAACCAAGAACAACATGTGCTAATAGATATCGGGTTACCGTATTAAATGAGAAAAATAAAGATATTTGCCTAACAATTAACAATAGAATTAAACAAAGTTCTCTAAAATGTGATTGTCTGGTGCAGCTATTTTTTAATGAAAGTGAATAAAAATTTGGCATGTATCAAGGATTGATTTTTTTTGTTCTGTTAAATAAAGAATAATTATAATTATAATGGCGCCCGTTGCCAGATAGTCAGAATACTTGTGTTCATCCTACCGATAAAAATGGAAACTTTTATCCTTTAAACAGCTTTTTCCACAGTGGCTCCTTAGTGTTTAAAATAGACGTGCAGATGGCGCCAGTGTATTATTTACCACCCACGACAGAAATTCCATCCACAAACTAACCAAGTGAATCAAAATGCATGGGTAGCATCATTAATGGCCTCCTGCACTTCCGGTGGGCAATTACGCATCGCAAACACAAATCAAATGCCCAAATTGCGATATGGAAGTCTGCTCTCGTGGCACGTGATCCTTCCCCAAGGATAAGCGCCAGTTATAAATTGCGTAATCAAATAAATTTGACAAAACTATATAACTTATTTATAAAGCCAAACACACACTTATATAGAGCCAAACAAAGCGAACCTGTGGAGAATATTTACACTTTGTGTACTGTCAACAAAATTCAAATCAAATAAACTATAAATGTCCGTGGGACTGGGACTTCAATTTTGACTTGAGCAGCCTGCTGAAATCGTTATCCTGTTACTTGTCATTAATTCGACCCTTCGTGCATATTGTTATTCCCGTCATTATTGCGCTGTATTGTTGTTATTTGAGCTCTGTGCGTCGAGCCGTTAAATTAGCCGCTTATCAATTATGTATTTGAATTTAATTGGCCAACTAGAAGGCTCCCGGGACTCGTTGGCATGCCTGATCCAGGATTGAGCTTCACACAAATTTGCCATTGAAAAAATAAAATATGCTTGTAAATTACTAAAATTTGATTGCATACATATATGCACAATGGAATGTAAATAAATAAAACATATGCTCTGATTGGGAAGTTAACTTTTAGAATAATATGTTGTGCGTTTCATTTTGCTTAATGTATGTTCATAATTCATTTGGTTTCGTTCATCTGTCAATCAATTTTACCTCTAAAAATTTAGTTGACGTTGTATTTATATTTATTCTGAGTGATATAATAATGTACTATAATATATTAAGAAGAAGCAATAAATTACTTTTACTATATATATTGAAAACATAAAGCACAAATTAAATCAAATCATATGTTTTAAATTAAAAAGTTATGAATCCTTTCTTGACATGCAAATTAAACATATCAATTTGTCAGTCAAAAAAGTAAAATCAGATCGAATTTGATAGGAAAACGATTCGAAGAACGACTAAAAATGATTGTTGGCTTTTTTGTGTGTTCGGCTGCAATTGAATTTTGTGTGATTTTGGTTATTTGTCGTGGTTATTTGCTCGACACAGGGCCAGGCCAGTCTGATTTATTCATTAAATAATGTGTGGGGAACCCCTTTTTCCCCTTTTCGCGTCCTTCAACTGCTTCCTCATGCGTCATGATTTTCTACAAATAAATTGATTTCAGTTTTCAACATTAATTTAATAGTTGTTGTTATGGGTTGGCCCAGTGGTTTGGCCACTGTTTTCATTGTTATTGCAATTGGCCTGGTTTGCTGGGATCTGTTGCTGCTGATGGTTACATTTTGTAATTTCATTTCGCATGGCTCCACGGATTCCAGCAATTGAGCATTATGCAATGCATTTACATATATGCATGAAATCGTTTAATTGCAATTCAGGGGATTTTATTTTTTCGATTTTGGTTTTATTTGTTTGTATTGTTTGCGACCAATTTGCAGCAGCATTCCGCCATTTCGCATTCGCATTCCTTACCAAAGTTGGTTGATATTTCTGACGATCCAGCACATAATCGTAAACCAAGTTGAAATTTCCATTTACAATTTTAACGATGCTCGTCGTTAATAAAGCATAATATGTTGACCTCAAAGCTCTCAGTGCTACAGTGCCAGTCATAATTCTACCCTCAGTTTTGCTGTGGCTTCTGCGGATTGCTCTCGCTTTTGTTGTTCCAACCGCTAAAAGCAATTTGCATTTGCATTTGTTTATGGTTGAGTCCCTGCTCCTGGCGTTAATTTGACGTATTTGGCTTAGCAAATGGAGCTGATGGATTTACTTATCCAAAAGGGGCTTAATGGATACCAGGATGCCTGATAACTTAATGCACTGAACTATGTACTTTTTTATATGGAAAGTTATGAACTTACATAGTTTCATTTGTATTTTTAAGACAGTTCCTTGCTGTAGAACTTGTAGGCAAACCAAAAATCAAATATCATATTTTCAGATCCTGTTGATTATTATAGGATGACCTTAAAATACATTTTCTTCATGTGTAGTTTCCGAACAAGTCAGACAATTTTACTGATTACCGATAAATGAAATTATTGCGGCACTGTGCCAAAAGCCAATTAAGTTCTTTGAGGTTTTGAAAACCACGATATAACCCTCGAGAATTTTCAATCAAAGATAAAACTTATTACTTAACTCCTTAGTTTCCCCCACCACTAGGCTTCAAACTTTTTCCCTGCCCTCGAGGGGCCAAAGAAACAATTTAATCAATCACCCCGCAACTATATAATAAGGCACAAATCTGGCCAAAAGAATAACCTGTTTGACTTCTGAAAGTTCCATTGCGTAAATTGATAAATCCTTTAATGCTTGGCCCACACACGAAGGACCTAGAGACCAAAGAATGGTAAAGGGTACATCTGTACAGTGGGGCGTGACACAATGACATACACATAGGGGAGATGGGGATGTGGGAGAAATCAACTTTCGATTTCGTCGAAATAAATCCACTTTACAGATTGAGACGACTGTGGGACGTGAGGACATGGGGGAATTTCAATTCCTTCTAAGCACGACGATAGGGACAAACTCATTGAACGGAGGCAAAGACAAAATACGTGCACTGCGACACAGCTGCGCTCAAAAGACTAGCTCTTAAATTTCAAGGCATGGGTTATTAAAGTATGTTGGTACATGAGTATGGATGCTTGAGCTAAATACAATTTGATTTATAAAATATTTGTATCATTGGAATTTTCCTCTTAGTTAAAAGCAATAAAAAGTAAAAAGAATGAAGATTTATATGAATTGGTAGGTTTGACATTGAATAAAAATGATGCAAAGACTATGAAAAGCAATTTCGAGACTTAGCAATACTTGTTAGATTTTGAAAAATAATTAATCATTGGAAAACAATGAAAACGCTAATATGATGAGAAAAGCTGTATGCAGATTGAGATGGCAGGATGTTGAATTTAAATAATTGAATTCATCAAAGTTAACTCGCGCAATTGTGATGTGCTTGAGCCACAGCTACCGCCAATGCCTCAAGCTCTTGAGAATTGTTCCCCCGATTTCCCCTTTACATTTGTTCGGGCTTAGTTCTGTAAACTTTTCCTCTGTGTGGGGTTTCCTTTGATGACAAGAATAGCGGCTAAATTCGCTAAAAGAATGGCGCACCAAAAAGATTTGAGAATTGACAAAGTGCAAGTAGGTCTTAGGGCACGAACATGCCAAATGAACGGGTAGGCAGGACGGCACCTCATAAGCGAGCACGTGTGTGAGCTGGCAGTGGGTGTGCGAGTGCCTCTAAGGACATCCCCAGGCTGGCAACGAAAGAACCACTCGCACACACAACGAAAAACAACTCGAAAATCCATGTCAGTGTCACGTAGCAGAGTGTGCCCAAAACAGGAACAATAACAACACCAACGGCGGCCAAAAGCGGCAACAAAGCCAGATAAAACAACAAGAGGGTGCTCGAGACGATAAAGAAACGGATACTGTCAATATGACTAAACCTAGATACACTAATAGATTTTTGGAGAATAAGGACAAAGCCTAGATTCACTAATAGATTTTTGGAGAGTAAGGTCTAACTTATTGGTGTTTTGTGCTTTTAGTTTTAAGAAAACTTTGCGGTTCCAATATAAGTTACATTTAAGGACTCCCAAAAAATGAGTTGCGACTTGATAAATCCTATATGAAATTTCCGTAGTAATTGACGAATATCCTTAATAAAGCGAACACCCTACCAATCCCCTCGAGTAATTCATGTACCTGAAGCTAAACACATCTGCTTCATCTATTAAGGTTCTTACTTCATCTGCACCCCCATCCTTTTACCAATTTCATGGCCTTCGTTGTTTTTCCTGCTGATTGGTGTCTTTGTGTTTTTTTTGTTTCTGTTCCGTATCTGTATTTGTTCCTATATCTTCTCCTCTTGTTCATCATTGTATCCCAAGCTTCATTGGCATGCCTGGCGTCTCAAGGATATTTCCGTTCGCATTGCGTATACGCCACGTTGTTCGCTTCGTTGATTAAGTCGCTCCGTGTTCTCCGTGTTTAATCAATTATGCGACGTTTGCAAATTCACGTAGCTGCTCGAGTTATTTTCGCTAATCACTAGAATACAATAAACATAAGCCCGAAAGCCCACCGAGATGCCGCACTTCATTCAAGGAGTCCCGAATGGCTTACGGCGGTTTCAAGTGGTTTTATGGTTGCTGGACATTTTCCCCGGACCCTTCTGGCCGGGTCATTTTTCATTCTGATGAAAATATTGATTTCGATTCTCCCTTTTTGTCCGCCTCCATCCGCGGTCGACGTGATGTTGATGTCTGTTTGT